ACCTTGAAAACACCAACCCGCATATCCCGAGATACTGTACCCCAGGACAGGACCCCAAGTCCTCCTCACACACCAACACACAATGGCTCCCCAACAACAGCAGCCGACCAGCCAGGACTGGGACGTCAAGTTCAACCAGGTCCGCCGCGAGAAGCTCTTCCGAGACCCCCCGACCGACCGCACCGCCTATCCCGCCCTCCAGGCCGCCGTCGACCCCCACATCGAGTCCTTCAATGCCCTCTTCCGCGACGATGGCAAGCCTTCCCTTCTCGACCACGCTCTGGCCGAGATTGGCACCAAGACATTCCTAGACGGCGATGAGCGCGCTGATCCCCAGGGCAAGAACAAGCTCACCATCCGCTACAAGAGCATCGAGTTGCAAAAGTCTCAGGTCCCGCCCACCAACCGCTGGGCCAAGAACCGTGAAATCTTCCCGGCCGAGTGCAGAGAACGACATGTCTCATACAGGGGCAAGCTGTCGGCCACCTTTGAGTATCGCATTAACGATGGCGAGCCTCACGAGTTTGTGCGCGAGCTCGGCCAGATGCCCATCATGGTCAAGGTAAGCCTGGTGACCGGAGATATTCCCAGTCTACATCATCCATGTCTAACAATTCTGCTTGTCAAAAACAGTCCAACAAGTGCCACCTCCAAAACAACTCCCCTGCCCAGCTGGTAGCAAGAAAGGAAGAGTCCGAAGAATTGGGCGGTTACTTCATCGTCAACGGTATCGAAAAGCTCATTCGCATGCTCCTCCTTAACCGGAGAAACTTCCCGCTCGCCATCGTCCGTCCCAGCTTCCAGAACAGAGGCGCCTCCTACACTCCGTACGGTATCATAATGCGATCCGTCCGCCCTGACGAGACCTCCCAGACCAACGTCCTCCACTACCTCAGCGACGGCAATGTCACCTTCCGTTTCTCGTGGAGAAAGAACGAGTACCTCATCCCCGTCATGATGATCATGAAGGCCCTCGTCGAGACAAACGATCGAGAAATCTTCGAGGGTCTTGTCGGCCCACCCCAGTCCAAGGGCGTCGCCAACACCTTCTTGACCGACCGCGTCGAACTCCTCCTCCGCACCTACAAGAAATACGGCCTTTACAGCAAGACCCAGACTCGCGCGTACCTCGGCCAAAAGTTCCGCGTTGTTCTCGGCGTCCCCGACACCATGTCCGACTACGAGGTCGGCACCGAGTTCCTCCGCAAGATTGTCCTTGTCCATCTCGGCTGCCAGGACGTCACCGAGCAGCAGGATGCCGACAAGTTCAACATGCTGCTCTTCATGTGCCGCAAGCTGTACGCCCTCGTTGCCGGTGACTGCGCTGTCGACAACCCCGATGCCGTCCAGAACCAGGAGATTCTCCTGGGTGGTTTCCTCTACGGCCAGATCATCAAGGAGAGACTCGAGGAGCTGTTGACCGTTTCCTTCCGGGCCTCCCTTCGCGACTACCTCAGGAGGAACCCCACGGTATCTTTCCAGTCCGACACTTTCCTCAAGGACTTCCCCATCGCCATCTTCCGCAGGGCCAACGAAAACATTGGTCAGTCGCTCGAGTACTTCTTGTCTACCGGCAACCTTGTGTCTCCCTCCGGTCTCGACTTGCAGCAGGTTTCCGGCTTCACCGTCGTTGCCGAGAAGCTTAACTTCTTGCGTTTCATCAGTCACTTCCGCATGGTGCATCGTGGTTCCTTCTTCGCCCAGCTCAAAACGACAACGGTCCGTAAGCTTTTGCCCGAATCGTGGGGTTTCCTCTGCCCTGTCCACACTCCTGATGGTTCTCCTTGCGGTCTTCTCAACCATTTGGCCCACAAGTGCAAGATCATGACGGAGTCTGTGGATGCCTCTACCATTCCTCGTCTGGCTTTCGAGCTCGGCGTTGTCAACATTTCCTCGGCTGCCACCAGCGAGAGTGTAGTCGTTATGCTTGATGGCAGGATCGTCGGTTGGTGCACCCCTGAGGAGTGCAAGTCCATCGCCGAGACTCTCCGTTACTGGAAGGTCAACGGCGAGAACGGCGTACCTCTTCAGCTCGAGATTGGCTACGTCCCTCCTTCCAACGGCGGTTCTTACCCCGGTCTCTACATGTCCTCTCAGCCTGCTCGTATGGTCCGTCCCGTCAAGTACCTCCCTCTGCAGAAGGAGGATTTTGTCGGTCCTCAGGAGCAGCCTTACATGTCGATTGCCTGCACAGAGCAGGAGGTCATCCCCGGGGATTCTACCCACGTGGAGTTCGATCCTACTAACATCCTCTCCATCCTCGCCAACATGACCCCCTTCTCCGACTTCAACCAGTCTCCCCGTAACATGTACCAGTGTCAGATGGGTAAGCAAACCATGGGTACACCAGCAACGGCTCTTGCCCACCGTACGGACAACAAGATGTACCGTCTCCAGACGGGTCAGACGCCTGTTGTCCGCGCACCTCTGCACAACACGTACGGTTTCGACAACTTCCCCAACGGCATGAACGCCGTCGTCGCTGTCATCTCCTACACCGGTTACGACATGGACGACGCCATGATTCTCAACAAGTCGGCACACGAGAGAGGATTTGGTCATGGTAGCATCTACAAGACCAAGAAGGTCAGTCTCAAGGATGACAGCAGGACACGCTCGGCCAAGAGCATTGTCAAGATGTTCGGCTTTGCGCCCAACAGCACCATCCGGGAGTCCACCCGCGACATGCTCGACAACGACGGTCTCCCTCGCGTCGGCCGTCTTCTCCGTGAGGGCGACGTCATCTGCGCGTGGCACACCGTTTCCGCCGACTACAACGGCCAGCTCGTCAACCGCGACGGCGTCACTCACTACGAGCGGTACAAGGACTCGGAAGACGCCTTTGTGGAGGAAGTCCGCGTCATCGGCGCCGACAATGGCACCGAGCCCCTGCAGACCGTCTCCATCAAGTTGCGCATTCCCCGTTCCCCCGTCATTGGTGACAAGTTCTCGTCTCGTCACGGTCAAAAGGGTGTCCTTTCGCAAAAGTGGCCCGCCACCGACATGCCCTTCTCGGAAACCGGTATCCAGCCCGACGTCATCATCAACCCTCACGCTTTCCCGTCGCGCATGACCATTGGCATGTTTGTCGAGTCGCTAGCCGGCAAGGCTGGCGCCCTGCACGGTCTCGCGCAGGACTCCACCCCCTTCAAGTTCGACGAGCAAAACACGGCGGGCGATTACTTTGGCCACCAGCTCATGAAGGCTGGCTACAACTACCACGGCAACGAGCCCCTCTACTCGGGTATTACGGGCGAGGAGTTCCAAGCGGATATCTACATTGGTGTGGTCTACTACCAGCGTCTGCGTCACATGGTTAACGACAAGTACCAAGTGCGTACTACTGGCCCCGTCGTGCCTACGACTGGTCAGCCCATCAAGGGTCGTAAGAAGGGTGGTGGTATCCGTGTCGGTGAAATGGAGCGCGATGCCCTTCTCGCTCACGGTACTTCGTTCCTCCTTCAGGACCGTCTTCTCAACTGCTCGGATTACTCCAAGAGCTGGATGTGCCGTCAGTGCGGCTCCTTCCTTTCCACGCAACCCACCGTGTCGCCATTTATCGGCAAGCGCAAGGCCGTCAGCACTGTTAGGTGCAGGAACTGCGCGGTCAGGCTGGACGACATGGAGGATGTCGATCTCATGCAGATTGACGGAGAGATCTGGGAAGATGGCAGCGGTACCCAGTGGATCGGTGGAGAGAACACTACCATCGTTGCGGTGCCGGGTGCGCTCAAGTACTTGGATGTGGAACTGGCGGCTATGGGCATCAAGCTGAAGTACAAGGTAGATAAGAAGGATGAGATTAGGAGGGGACAGTTGGTAGGGAAGAAGGCGGGTGATTTGATGTTGACGGCTTAAGAGATATGAGAGTTCTATGTATGGATGGGTCTGGTCAAAGGGTACAGAAAAGTTCCTATGTATGGGTTTATGTGTTTAGCAGCATCATGGGAGTAAGTTAGGGTAGTGTAATTTGCAATGTTCGAATGTTTTTCTCTCCTGTTTCGGTCATACCGGCAGACATTTTCTTATTCCCATGGCATGGTGAAACCATGAACAGGAGTAGCATGTGGTGGGACACTCGAGTGGATTTGACTTTGACGCAAGTGAGCTGAATCCCGTCATCCACAGGTCATTCTTCATGGCTATGAGCAGTGGTTTGATGGCAAATGCAAACTTGACGGTAGCACAAGAGAACGATGTACCTGAACACAAGAGCGGGAGACGACACCAGGACGCAAGATTGTGTTTAACACGATCGGATAGCTGCCGTGACCCCTAATGATAGGTATGCGTGTCAACGATGGTGCAGTTGAAGAAGATGGGGTTTGGTGATGTGATTAGCAGCATAATGGAAGTGTTGTCCCCGAGTGAGGAACTCGATATTAGGAAGCTATTCACGACGAGGTGACTTTTTCTTTCAAAATACTTTCAGTTTGTTACCATGACCAGGTGAGACACTCCAACGTAAGATCACACTACAGCTGAAATGGATACAACGCTGATACGGATAGTTACCTCCAGTGACTTGACACTTGACACGCAACACGCCCATCCAGGAAGGAAGCAATTTCAGTGCCGATGTCGGGTTTCACCTGCCTCTCTGAGGCCCGACTTCCGATCACGGCATTCGGATCCCCCAGTCTCTTGCCAGATGTACCTTCCTTGTGTCAACCGGTGTGGAAATTATGTCGGTAAGTACCTTCCATTTTCACTCTCGCTGCTCCTTCCAGAGGAAGTTCTCGTCCTTAGGTTCCATAGAATCGTCACTACAGTATCACGCTCGGCTCGGCTCCACGGCACTTGGCTGTCTCTCCACTTCCCGGGCAGTTTCAGACTTTTCTCTGACATCTTCAATTTCCATCTGACTGGCGATTGCAAGCCATCTGCTTCGTCTCGCTGTGTTGGTGTTTTGGGTCGAGTACCTTGCCTACTACGACAATCTGTACTTTGCCATGATCGGTAGTCAAGGCATGCTTGACAATCAGAAAAGCCACTGTCCACCGTGATCGGAACAGCAATCAGTCACTCGTTTCGTACTTCAAGATTTTTTTTGTTCTGGATCCAGAAACTCTTTTCTCTTCTTTTCTTCTAATCTGTCCATCTCGCCAACTCCTCCTAATCAGCATACTCGAGTCACGTCCCAATCTGTGCCATAATTCTCGACCATCAGCATTCCATTCTGGCTCGTGACCTTCAAGGACTTCGTCAATGACTACTTCGACACCCATTTACCTCCCCTAATCGCAGCTCATCACCGCCTTGGTAACATCCCATTCCTTTCCGGTCTCTCCCACCCACCCGCAACGGACGTTTACCTCGCCCACATCTTTCTCGACCAATCTCCTTCTTGGTCAGTCATTCGTACGCTTCACCGGTTCTTCTCTGAGCAAAGACTACGTCTCAGTCGTTGCGACAACCGAGATTGACACTACTTGCACATCGCAACCCATGCCAATGGCACGCTTTCGGTTACCACTCGCCCTGCTATCTCTCGCTGTGTTCGCTGCGCACTCCGTTCTCGCACAATATGGCGCGTACGACTACGGCTTTGACGCAGCAAAGCTCATAAAGCGCCAGCTCGCTTCGCAAGAACCGGTGCCGGTAGTAACGGGAGCCGAGGGTGGGGAGACAATCCGACCTCGACAAGAAATCCGTCAGCTGGAACAGGACAAAGAGCTATGGACTCTCTATATCCTGGGGCTCAGTCTGATGCAGTTCACCGACCAGTCATCGCCGGTGTCGTGGTACGGGATTACTGGTACTAATGTTACACTTGAGGTTCCCCCCTCTTCATTCTTCTCTGTCTACTGACACGCTACACGTGTGCTTTCTGTCATGCTAACCAACAACGTCAACCAGGGATACACGGCATACCTCACCAAACCTGGGGCGGTGTGACTCCTACTCCCGGAAATGAGGAAACAGGATATTGTACTCACTCCTCGATCCTCTTCCCGACATGGCATCGTCCTTATCTTGCCCTCTACGAGGTACGTCTCTCTCTGTCCCTGAGATAATGACGCCTGCCGACCCAAGACCCGTCACAGCAAGTACTTTACAACCTGATCCAAAACATTGCCAAATGGTGGCCCGAGGGCGAACCACGAAACCGATACCAGGCGGCTGCTCTCCGGTTCCGCATACCCTACTGGGATTGGGCCTCCAGCCCGCCTTCAGGACAGAGCGTTCTGCCTCTTAGTGTTGGTGGGAGCCCGTACGTGGATGTGAATGGCCCCAATGGAGTGCAGAGAATTGCCAACCCCTTGTTCAGTTACTCCTTCAAGCCGCTGAATGCTACTGCCTTTCTTCAGGATCCGGTGAGTGCAAGTCACCTTTGGCGAAGCGACCTCTGCTGACATTTGGTGTACGACAGTGGGATATATGGACAACTACTCTCAGAAGCCCGACTACCAGCGATAACAAGGCGCAATCCAACAACTCCCTCGTGGCTGTGAACTTTGACCAAAATCTCGACTCAATTGGCCAACGTCTTTACATTCTTTTCTCCAACTACGGCAACTACAGCACCTTTAGCAACAACGCCTGGATACCCTACATCAATAATGGCTCCTTCGACTCCCTCGAAGCCATTCATGACACTGTACACAACCTAGCCGGCGGCGGCGGACTAGGCCAACCCAACGCTCAAGGCGGCCACATGGCTTACATCCCCTACTCCTCCTTTGACCCCATTTTCTTTCTTCACCACGCCATGGTCGACCGCATCTTCGCCATCTGGCAGTCCCTGTACCCAAGCAGCTACGTCACCCCCATGCAAGCCTACATCGCATCCTACACCACCTCTCGAGGCGAGTTTCAGACCGCCGCCACCCCTTTGACACCATTCTACTTTAACGCGAACGGCACGTTCTGGACATCGGACATGGTCCGCGATCATACGAGGTTTGGATACACCTACCCCGAGCTGGTTGGAGTGTCGGGTAGTGTACCGAACAGCCAGAGCCGATCACTGTCAAGGAGGGCAAGGGAAAGGGTAATGGCAGCGATCAACCGCCTTTACGGTCCATCAACTCCCTCGAGTCTCTACCGCAAGGAACTACGAGCCGGAAGACTAGGACCAGGGAAAAAGGTCCCCGGCAATCTACCTGCCGGAAGGGTCTTCAGCGGTAATGGGCAATACAGGGAGTGGCTAGCCAATGTGAGGGTGAAGAAACAAGCCTTGGATGGGCCGTTCTTCATTCATCTGTTTCTCGGGGAAGCACCAAAGGACTCGAAGGAGTGGGCGTCGGCCAAGAATCATGTCGGGTCGATGGGGGTTTTTGCGTCGGATGAGCGGTATGGGGAGAGTAAGATGGATGGGATGGATGAAGTTATGGTTTCGGGAACTGTGCCGTTGACAAAGGCGCTAGTTGAGAAGGTGATGGGGACGGGGAGGTTCGGCGTTGGCGGTGCGGTCAAGGGTGTTGTTGCAGGTGCGGGAGGCAGAAGTGTCGGTGGTCGTTTTGTGGGCTTCGAAGGTGACGTTGGCAATGGCTTCAGGGGAGAAGACGAAGGATATGGAGAAGATGGAGATTGGTTAGGACAGGGGGAGATGTTGAGGAGTCTGGACCCCAAGGACGTGGAACCCTTTCTAAGGAGAAACTTGGTGGTGAATATCGTCAAGGTGGATGGGAAGGTGGTTATGCATGGGAGTTATGTGGAGGGTTTGGGGATTCATGTGGTCAGTTCTAGGGTGAGGGCGGCAAGAGTTGAGGAGGAGTTACCTGCTTGGGGCCAAGCGGAGAGTGGGTTTGATGTTGTCTGAGGTACGATCATGTCAAGAGGTGTTGGCTTGGTTCTTTGACAAGACTTGTAGTTGTTATATGTTGTATTGGTGGTGATGGAAAATAAGGGTATGGCTTTTTGTTAGAATATGGGGATGATAATGGCCCTTTAGGGTGTAATTGTAGCTGAGATTAATGAAAGGCAGTGATCATTCAGTGAGGAGATTCGACAGAAATTCCAAATACCCCCAGCGAGTTGAACATGTCCACGTTCCTTCGCCACTGCTCGTCTGCAGTTGTGGATACCACCAGGACACTCGATGATTTCTCGACAAAGACATGTTGAATAGTAGGGTATAGCCATGTAACTTGTAGCTAGGGAGCTATATATTAGGTAAGTAGACTTTGTTGCGCCTTGTCAGGTCAAAACAAGACTGGAAACTCCGTTGCCTCACCGCCCTCAAGACAACAACTTGACAAGGCGGCCAAGGCAAGCGGCAAGGGTGTAGTAGGTAAGCACCAATGACCAAGGCAAAGTCTGAACACTGTGTGGCTATTGGACACTAGAATTCAGAGCTACCCCCTCGACGTTAACTCAAGATAAACCTAGATAAGGTAGCTAGGAACTGCCTGCCTGCCTGACTGACTGACTGACTGACTGACTGACTGACTGACTGACTGACTGACTGACTGACTGACTGACTGACTGACTGACTGACTGACTGACTGACTGACTGACTGACTGCCTAACTGCTTGGATGACAGGAAAATCCACGTGGAAAATTCGAGGCGAAGCTAGGTAGCTGCCCACTGCTGCAAGGGGGTAGAGCCTCATCTTCCCAGCCAGACTTGTCTCTTGTACTCTTGTCTGTTTTCTATCCCTTTTCCATTTGTCATGTCACCCCTTCATTCATCGCCAGCCCCAGCCAAAACGGGGCAGGGCAGGACTGCTCGGGACAAAGCCCCCTTCGAGTTCATGGTATGGAGCCGCCTTGTAGGCGTCACGTTGCTGTTGTTGGTGGCTTCATGGAAGGTGAGGTGAGGCGGCTGGGCGTTGAGGATTTCACTACCTCACCTACCTAGCCACCATATACTACCATAAACATGTATGTAGAGCCAGGGAGAATAGGGCTGTGTGGTGGTTATTCTGAAGAATACGGGTGATATGTGTGTTGACGTGGTTTGATGACTGGAACTGGCTGATGAGGGGGACAGACCAAGCAGGCTGAACACAAGGCGGTTAAGTTGTGGGTACATGTACCTTGTTGGGAAGATGTAAGTGCAAAGGACGAGGTGCCTACCTACCTGTAGGGAGTGAAGCTCATGGAGACATAGTCGAAAGTTGGAGATCTTCAATGTGAGGCAACCAACGGAATAGACACTTTTTAAAGTAAGGCAATCAGTGGTTTGCAAGGTAAGGGTAGTCGACTTCGTTGCTGTGCCATTAGGAAGCTTGCCTAGTAGGTACCTCTACATTCCGAAGTTCCACTCCTCGGAGATTGGGTTTTCGATGGAGTGTCAGGAATTGGTGAGTTGCATTTCTCTCCAGATAGCGCCACCGCACAACGGTTGACGTGGAGTTTGTTGAGCACAAGGTAGAAAGGGGAGACGGACTGAGGCGTCTGTTTACCACTGCCTCAATGAAGGAGGGGAGAATGGACTTCCAGCCCGGGATTAGAGCATATGAAGTCGGGCGGGTTAAGATTTTGAGCGGTGAAGCGACTGGCTCGAGGTATTGGACAGATTTGTCTTGCCTTGTTTTGCCTCGTTGTGCTGCTGGTTTCACGGTTAGGGTGTAGTCTACTCAGTTCGGTTGTCGCCGATACTTCTTAGATAGGTAGAGGTAGGTAGAGGTAGGTACGTAACTAGGTACGCTGGTAATTGCTTGAATCTGACAGTAGGTGTGCGAAAGTGTTGGCATCGCGATCGTAAACCGCGGTCGGAAAGATGGCACGTCCAAGACACGAAGGAAAAGGGAGATAGTGAGTTGGGCAGTTGCTCGGAGGCATCCGGTGACACCTCCATCTTCAGCCTGATGCCAGGTCGATATACCAAGTTGCTGTGCCGCCTCGAGACACCAAAGCTCAGTGAACCGGTAGGAAATGGCAATGTGTGTCTGCATCATAATCAAGGACCGCGCTTGAAGACCGTGAAATCAAGGGAGAAAATAAGGAGCATCGTTGACATCGTTGACAAGAAACGGATAGTACGGACCGGTCCACCCAGGTGTCGAGAGACATCCGGTGTGTACATTTCACCCATTGCAGGCTGTGATAATGAAGCGACGATCGAAACAAAAAAGACAGTTGGCAGTGAGGACGGAAACAGATTTGTTTCGAAACATGCGGGATGACACTCACTGAAGTAATGGTGGGTTACATCAACTTCCCAAAACTCAGCCGAAGTGGCCTAGGTGTGCGGTCCAAAATGTCGAGTGTGGAAACTGAGGCCCAAAAGAGAACGTAATGCGACGACAGTCTACCGCTTTTGGAAACTGGAAATGCATTTTGAAAGTTCGGGTGCCATCGGTTTGTGCTTGTGAGCTGAAAATGTGAAGATCCTTTTGCTTTCGCTGACTTTTGTTGCTGGGCGGAGATGCTTGGCGCGTTTGGAAATCTGCTTCTCGTCGTCATGGTCATCGTCACGTCTTGCCCGTATCAGCGACCTACACCACCAATTTTGACAGTTTTTCATGCGAGGTTTAGGAAATAGAAACAGGAGATGCCGAATAAGTGCTTGGGGATGCATTTTGGCTTGGTGTGGTATGGAAAAAGTGCGAGTGTCTTCGGCCGTCCCAGCGTGGCCGTTGCGCCACATCTGTGCAGTCCCAACGATCAGCACGGGTCTCTGAGAGCAGCCCAGTCACCAAAACTTTGTGTCGCCGCCCGTTCGTTGCTGATTTTCCTAGGGCGTATCATCACTGGAACTGAAAAGTTTCCCGCCTCTGCCGTGGAAAGACTTCCCGCCGTGGATGATATCACTGGTTTAGCGTTGGAAAGGCCGTCAACGTTTCACAAGCCCCGCCAGTCCACACCATCTTGACCTTAGTGATTCTTTGGCTTGTGAGACAGCAACCCGCGAACGCCCGCTATAGAAACGTCTGATAAGCCGTCTCTGTCAGTAAAGGGCGAATGAGAACAAAGCTTCGGACGAGTGATGAACGAGTGTTCGAGGTCCAGGTACCCGAAGTCCCAAACCATCGACTTACATGGACATGCATAACCAAGTCAGCAAATGAGAGCTCGACCGGCGTCCAAGACTTGGAATGGCCTCTGAAACTATCACGAACTTGGAATGGGCCAGTTTTGAACGAACATTAGCTTCCTTGCGGTTTCCTTAGCGTATCCCGCCCTTCTGCACCGCAGTCGCCGCAATTTCCTTCTTTTGCTTCTTTGGCCGTTCCTTTACCAAGGCCTCAGCCTTCCCCCTCCGGCTGCTTAACCTTCAATTAAATCGGTGTTTCAAATGTCTTGGCCCATTCACGCCGGACCTCGGGAATGGCCTCTGACTGGCTTCAAAACATGGTCTCCGCTCAAGGCATCCAATCGGCCAAGCAGACTTACATGCGAAACAGCAATACCACATGCGGAATTCAGCTGCTTCGCCACGATACCAATGCAAGTTTAATGAGAAAATCAACTTCACCGTCTTTTTAAGCCTCAGTTGAACCCCAAAACATTTCCATGTCAGGACGCGTGAGGAGGCTATTCTGAAGCCCGGTAAGGGTCGCGACCAAGTCCGCCTCATCAGAAGGCCAGTAGAGCAAGCCCAACCCCGTCGCCTGGTGCCCGTTCTCCGGATCATCAGCGGCCAGAACTTCATGAGGCATGACGAGATGTGTGACCGGTTTGTCTTCCAGGGACTCACAAATGTTTTCAGTGTCAGTGATGAACGGTAGCAGTCACACCGCCCGCCGATCCGATCAGACCCTGTGCCCTTGTCGCCATGGTACGATCCAAGCTACATACTCAGTTGCGCAGGTTGCTGTCCCGGGACCGAAGCCTGGTGGTCATGAATCGTCAAAGGTGACAGTGGCATACTTCTAGAAGCCGAGTTCCGAAGGCGTGAACCTATAAGCCGGCGGTGGTAAGATTGGCGATGGTGATCAACATCTTGGAACTTTTGCTTCAGCTACCCATGGGTCAGTCCATTGGCCAGTCAGCTACCAGTTGACCAGTGACGATGCGCTGTAGGTTTGATAGCTAGGTATGTACACGTGAGTGATAGCGGTGCGTCGTCAATGCAACCCTGCATAGACGCCCCGCTATGCCTGCAAGCCGCCCTTGTTCGGACCTCGGTGACATGTTTAACTGTAGACGACAAGTCAAAGTCATCGAAGACGACAAAAAATGCGGGACGTGCCGGGAAAAGGGCTCGATGATTGTAACATACTGGACTCTACGTTGTCAATCGAGGCGGACTGTATGTACGCAATCAGAAATGGCGATGGCTTATCTCCGCATATTCCCTTCTTGCGCATCCACTTCTTACGACGCCGCAAGTTGCAGGGGGACCTTGAAGCCTCGACAACAACGAAGGGTATTTCCACGAGTGAATAGAGAGGCCCTTATGCGCAAGCCCATCCAAGCCTAGCGGCGACAAGGCCCGACGGAAGGTGACTGACATGGAGATGCATCTGGACGGCAGGCTGACTGCCTCTTTGCTTCTTTCTTCAAGGGCGTTCTCGTTGTTATGTGAGACATTGTGATACTGCAGCAAGCAGCAGGCATGGCTTAATGACGACATACCATGTAAGTCAGTCTTGACAGCTTCAACTAAGCTTTTCGGGACGTCTTCGTCCAAACCGGGAGCCGAAGTTCGACCCCAACCTTAGGCTGCAACTGCTAGTAGAGCATCTGGGGCTCGTGACTACTGCGCCATGGCATATGAACAGAAAGGAAAGAAACCGGGGAACACAAGGATCATTCTGGGTGTACATCTGGCTCAGGCACCGGTATGGAAGCTTGTGCTTCGAGGTGATCCAAGGGCGGTGAAGTTGTTCAGTCCAACCTGACCTCGACTTCATTGCTCCCCTTCCGCCTGCCGGTGCGCCGTAATTGTCATGAGTGGGTTTTTTTGCACGCTTGCGCAAGGTACGCAAATAGGTAATTGGAGCTAAGCATCATACGTGGCACCTGAGGCATGCCACGCAGGTACAGAAGCTGGAGGGGGTGGCACTAGCTACCCCGACGAGCCCGTCAGATACTTTGGAAAATGATGACGGGGAATTGTGGGCGATACCAACCAACACGGTTTGCAGCGAAGTACTCCTGACAGAATATGCAGGTGTCTTCGGGGTAATTTCGTCTGCAGCAAGTCGTGTATTGCGTTGGATGAGATTGAAGCCTCATACTCTTCATGTCTCTTCGTATTTGTCCTGTGATTGTAAGCTAGACCTGCGGCCATGGTGAAAGAGATGACGAGTGACCACATCCCCTCCACCCCCCCAACCCCCTGACGGCACCTACCGCAATTCTCGGTCGAGACAATCGACTCATTGGAAGGGTGCAACCCCAAAGTAAACAATATTGACCAATGGGATTGTAGACGGCAGACCGAGACAGGAGACGGACCAAGTATGGCCTGGGGCATAGCCATTCCGACTTCCATCCTGCTTTCGCAGAGGGCTTGTGAGGAGGACTCTGAGAAAGAGCCTCCTTTTCCACATGAGCTTCGACGAAAGGCTGGCAGCGCTACTTTTAAGGCACAGTCTCTCGTAGGACATCCCAACTTGACCCCCGCGCTCTTCTCCTCTTAGTTTCCACCATCCCGAGTCGGATACAGTAATAGCCTGCAATTGCCTCGATACCGCATGCTCGATTCTGTCACACCGAAACACCCTGATCTTCTGATTGCTTTGTTGTACCTCCTAGTTGCCTCCGCATCGCGGCCTTGCCGGCTCCTATTGCACCAACCTACAGTTAACGGCACATCCTCAGACACTGCAGAACCACCTGAGCCCATAAGGGAGGCATGACTATGGCGAACCATCCTTTCCACCCCCGTGTCTTCAATGGAAGTGCCGACTTCCAGAGAGATGATTGTCCAGGTCCCTGTCATCCTGAAGAGTACCTTAACCGCCAGCCGTCCTACCCAGAGGTTGGACAAGTCACCGAGGATTTCAACCAATATTCCTCAGGAATACCGAATGCTGCCGAGCATATCTTTGGCCCCGACCAAAGTTCTTCCGGAACCAGAGACATTACAGAAGAGTTCTTTGACTTCGACCTGTATAGTAAACAAGATGAGGTTACCGTCACGACTGAGACCTCCATCGAAGGGGACTCCTTGGTTCATTCGGCTCCGTCCGCAACACAAGACCAGTATACTAGGACGGCCTTGGATCATGAACCCGAGACGACGGAAGGCACTATTATTGCCGCTGCCTCCAGTCCCCTTGCTATCCCGTTTCTCAATCAGCCGACGCGCGGCGAATATCTCGACCCTCAACGATATCCAACGTCTGAAGACATCGATATTCATTTATCCGATCCCGACAGTCATGATGTAGATGAGACGCAGGCCTCATCTCGAAGCCGACTTGGCAAGCAGGCTGCTAAGCGCGAGCGCATTCTCTCAAATCCTGAAGAGACAGCGCGTACCCGGGAAAACAAAGCGTGCCTCTCTTGCAAGATTCAGAAGACCAGGGTAAGACAACTCAATCCCAGATATCCCATTTTTGACGATGTTCGCTGACAAGGATAAAAGTGTAAGCCTGAAAGTCCCTGTCCAGGCTGTGTCGACTTCAGTGCAAAGGTCGGGAGCCCTGATACTGTGTGCAACCGGGCAATTCTGACCATGATCAGGACGAAGGCTGGTAGGTAGCCCAAAAGAAATCGTACCAGGTGAAAATAGCTGACCTTGTCGAAGATTGGCCATTGACAAACCAGGTTTTGAGTCAACCGAAACGCGAACAGGCCTGGGGCAATGGAAAACGTACTGAGCTCCTCATCTCCCACTGCACCAACGCCGACAACGCATTACTGTTGGTTCACGGTTGCGAGTTCATCGAACAGCGGCCAGGCCCTTGCTTCTATCATATGATAGGCATTGCCCCCGATGAGGGTCCCAGTGATAAGAATCTTTATGATTGGGGCAAACGTGATGTGGAGGTCCATGCCGACACCGAGGAAAATTTCCCGAATTGTCTTGAGAAGTTCCTCTTGCTCTATGAGCAGATGTTTCATCAACGTTATGTTGCGAACGTCAAAGGTAAGCCTCAAAGCCCCGATTTCCTTGCAACACGTCGACTAACGCGATCTACACAGGCTCTGCTCAGACCAGGCCTGGCAGGTTCCACAAACTGATGGACAACGCGCAGTATGTGGCGTGTGTGGCAAAGATCTGGACCGCTAGGCGATTCTCTGTAAGCGGAGTACCCTTCGGTTTCGACCCTGAACCAGTGTCGGTTTTCTTGCGTCAGCGTGCTGGGAAGATGATAGGGCCAATCGAAGGGCAGATACTGGAGCAGCTCAAGGTGTTCTCAAACTCCAAGGAGACCAAGATCACAACTGACCTCGAGTCCACTATGGGTTCAGCGCTTGTTATTGCTGTCTGGACTGCTCTGTGGCAGATGATGTTGACATACCGTAGCGTGCTCAACCTGACGCTGCCTGGCACTGGTGAGTCTACCCCATCCAGTTTCCCCCCTGCTAATATGCTAATTTGAGTGGCAATAGCATTCCATGAGGAGACTAATAAACTCTTCCAGAGCATGGTCACGATATACTCGATGCTCTTCCGTACGGCAGAAGTGCTCAGAACCGTGGAAAAGGCGTTCGAGAGTGCAGATGCATTCGATAACGATCAAGTTAGACAAGCGTTTCGGAAAGCTTGGGAGACGCGTTTTGATTTCTGTAAGCAAAGAATCAGCCTTCCTGCCCCTTTTGACACTCTTGGGTTGACATCTCAGTAGATTGCGAAGTGGAAAAAGGGTCACCATCCAACAGACAAGATGCGCTTCTAAAAACACACGTCATAACCTGGGAAGAATTGATCTTAAACCGGCGAGAAACGAAACCAGCTCGGAAGGGAAAAGCGAAAGTGTGCGAGAAGAAGCAAGCTTGAGTCCCCAAGCAAAAGACAAAGAAACACTAGTACATAGGTCTGACTATACAGGCGTTTGGTACTAAAGGAAGGGCATGATAGACTGCGAACGGCTTACAGAAGTGAAACAATATCGGGATGGCATTTTGGCTTAATGTCAATGGACGTGGACATAGAATAATACTAATCACTGTTGACAGCATCATAACAACTTACCACATCAAGGAAGCGTGCTTATGTCCACAATGACCTTTTTGCTGGAATCTTGCTCTCTCTGCGAGCCGACTTGTTCGAAATGGGATATCAGATCTCGGGTGTCAATGCCTCGAAGAGCTGTTTCGACAACCTGGAGGTTGAGGCGGACTTGAAACCCCTTATTATCGTCGGACTGTTCCACGGTCGATCTGAACCTGGCACCAGAAAAATCAGTACACTATTAAACAGCTGTTTAGTCCAACAATCGACTTACTGAACCTTGTCTCCAAGTTGATGAGCATCCTGGACCGTTGGTGCCAGTTTTGCAAGTATGGTAGCTACAGCTCCAATGTAGCCCGCCCAAAACACAGCGTCCGGGTTGACAGTATCGGCCAATGCCCGCAAGTTGTTCAACAGCTGTTCATCCGCCGGAGTGACGCTACCGCCCCATCTTGCACAAAGTGTCAGAGCCATTACAGCCCGGGCCGCGTGCGATAGACCAGGACAATCCGGGTGCTCCGTGATGGCGCTGTGCAAAGCGGCAGAGGCATGGTCAAGGGTATCGACGCCGATGTCAGACCAAATCTTGCTCACGAACAGGCGGCCAAGACCAAGACCAAAGACCGTTTTTGGGCTGCCATAGTCAGCTGGCAGAGCTGATGACAGTATATCAACAATGCTTTGGAGTGATGCCTCGGCTTGGAGACAATCCAAAGGATCGCTCTCGCGAATCTCCTGGGGCAGCCTGATCATGAGCGCACCTTCTCTGTTTCCTCCGGCACAAAACGTGACCGATCGTATGCGTGGAACGGCCGAGATGAGAGCCTCAACGACCGTGACGATGGCAGGAAATTGGGCTCGGCGGCGCTTGGACATTCCGACGATCTTCTTCTTGAAGTTGGTGTTCACTTCGAGCATATGACTGGTCTTGGCAAAGAATTCGCCCGTGACTTTGTAGGAGCCTATTGCTGGTATGGGATACGGGGAGATTGCATCGTTGTGCATCAGCATGCTGCCGTAGCCTCGGAACCCTCCTCCGCAGAGATAAATGTCAATGCCTTGTGTACCCTTGGCTTCGTCCGCAAGGGCAGGGAAGGTCTCGCAAAGCCTGGCAAAAGCCAGCTTCATACCTTGGTTGAGCTTCGAAACCTCGTTGGTCTTGAAGTCAGCATCGTCGTGTTCGAGGATTTTGATCAAGCGAGCAGCACCAAAAGGCAAACTCCTGCCGACCTGTGCTGCGTGGATGTGATAGTCGGCATCTTGACCGGTGGTGTCCAGATAAGACATCTGGACACTGCCACCGCCAAGGTCAAGGAAGAGACCCTTGGGACGAGAAAAGGCCGATCTGGCTCCTAGTGAGCCAAACAGGGTCTCAACTTGGGGGTGCAGAATCTTGATAGCAAGTCCAGGGACCTCGGCCTCGATGGTCTGTAGCATTACAGCAGCGTTGCCCGCTTTCCGCATGGCCTCTGTAGCAAAGACGGTCACATGGTCGGGGGGTACGCCGTAATCGTTGACAGCAATGGCATGGAACCGGGCCAGTGTCTCGGCCACAAGGGCGATGGTTTTGTCGGGGAAAAGCGGGGGGCCACCAGCTGAAGACTCGCTCAGGGCATCGAAGAGGGAGATGGCGGCTCGCTCCTGGTAAAGACACTTGAGCAAGCGAGTCTGTGGCGGGGAGAGGTCGGAAATGGAGAACCGAATGCCATTACTGTGAAATAGATAACAAAACTAATCAGGATATGAACACCACAAGGGGGAAAAATGCAAATACGGTACTGTAGCCAGCTTACCTGCCCATATCAACCAAGGCATAGAGGTGGTTCGAGTCGGCAGGGTCCCAGCGAGGCCATACCTCGTCGAGATTGTCCAGTGTGACCAAGTTGACTGATTCTGTTGATGCCATCCTTTGGGTAAACTGAGGAGCTGAGATGTCACTCCAGGAGGAACTTGAAATCGAAAGCCAAAGGAAGGAGAGAAGGCAAAGTTCAAAGATCATGTGAAGGAACTGACGCCGATGATGCCCAATGTCGGCCAGCAAGACGACTGGAAGCTCCACACTGCTGTGATTCGGCCAATCATCAAAGCTGCTGGATTGTGTAGTGTAGTGTAGGTCACCCAGAGTGGGAAGGACCTGGAGCTACACTGGCTGTTCCTGCCCAGCTCAGCTCAGTGGTGTACATAAAGTACCTTGGGTAGACTAAGCACTGAACACTCCAAGCCCCCAGTCATGACCCCACCTTCTGCTCAGACCCCGCAATGAGCTCTTATCCTGGCTGTTAAGAGCCTACGCATTATCACGCCGGGAAATGGAGAATCGCTAACCAGTCTTGTTATTGTGCCAAGCCCAATGCCATCGTCATTATGGCTTTAGGTTTGATGTCAACAAGAGCCTGAGGCATGACGGGCCCCTCCATCACCATCGACAAAGCGATCGAGTGTTATTTTATCGATGAGATGCCGCATCTTCTGATGGTAACGCCACGAACGCTCTCAAACCTTCTCGGGCACCACGGATTATGAGGCGACAATTCATCAACAACAGCGACACGATCATTTGACAGGCCGACTAGGTAGACGGCAGGAAGTTGAGTAAGGCCGACGTGCAGCTGCACCTCCTCCCTCCCTCTTTTTTTCGCAGATTGGCCGTCACTTGCTCCATTCTGTTCCTCCCTTCACCTCTGTTCTCGTTTCCATCTCCCAGGTCTGGATGGGTAAGTAAATCGGCAAATCCGTCAAAAGTTCAAAAAGTCGACGACAGCAGGAACTACACTACACTACATATGGAAATCGGCATCGAAAAGAAAGAAACCCTGTCTCCGGCGGCAGTGCTCACATGAGGTTACAGTACTAGGGACTTTTTAGTTTTTAGCGCTGCAGATTACATCACTGGCCGTGGTAACAAGTGGGTGGGTGGGTGACCGCTGAGGTTCTTGAGTCCTTTGCTCTGTGTCATCCATTTTAGGGAACTGAACAACATGGACAACATGGGACGCGTCCTGGATGGTCGGTTGTTTTTGTGAGTGGCCAATCACAAGCTGCCGCTAAGACGTTGGGATCGCGTTCACGACGCGTTGGACTTCCTTTATTGAACGGTTCTTCACGCCATGATGATTCCGCGGACGGCCGGCCTCCATGTCAGTACTAATTGCTGCTGCCTTTGCTTCCAGGTTGGATCTCATGTTTCAACTTCCGATGTTATTGTTCTTATTGATGCTGTGGTGTTGTGATGGTGTTGTTATTGTTATTGTCGTCGAAGCTGGGTTACACTTGTGAAGCGGCGGCCTCCATCTCTCCACATTCACGCAACTCCACGCCGGCATGAACTCCACTGCGGGCTTCAAGTGTCAGAGTTAAGAGCCGGCCTCCGTGCCGCGACAGGTGGACAACGGACCCTTGAGTTGTTGTTGTGTACACGATTGGGTTGTTGTTGTACTTGTTGTTGTCGTCGGTCGTCGATGTTGGTTCACCACTGGCTGATGTTGGGGTTTATATATAAATATATATATATATATATATATAGATACCTGTATATATGTTGACATGGATGTTGTTGACATGGTGTGGTTGTCAAGAGACAAGAGATGTCATATCCGAGGTAACTATGTAACTGAATTGACAGGAACTCAAGAGAGATGCCCCAGCCCTTGTCCCTGTCCGTTCCGTCCTCTTTCCATCTCTGGCTGATCTGATTCCCGAGGCTGATGAAGCTACTGTACGACCTTGCCTTGTACCTACATACATTATACTTATACATACACATACACATACATAGCACATCCATTCCCACTTTTGACGGACCCTTGCCCTCGCTATCGCATATCGATCGCATCCAGGCAGAGTCCAACGACCCGAGTTCCATCCGCTCGTCCCTGCAACCACTCACCACTTCTACTTTGTCCTCCCCCTCTAGCTCTTGTCGTTTTTGCGACTTCACCTCTTTGCGACTCGCTCAGTTATAGGTGCGCGCTTCTGGCGCATTTCCCACAAACCCCAGCGTTTTGGTCGCATCATCCACCCGCTTCCATATTCCATCTCAAGACAAGAAAGTTGGCAGCAAAAGACGGCCGCCCGCACGCACTTGCGACTGAGACCTTCCGCTCACTTGATTGATTGATTGATTGATTGACCCTTTCACTCCGACACTCGCTCTTTTCCGCAAAGTTCACCTTGACGACACCAAACACCAGCAACAACAACAACAACCAACACCTAATTTCCCCCAACCATCCGACACTGCAGCAGTCTCGAGCTCAGTCCCCTCTTTCTTCCCTTGCAGACGCAACGACAATACAACTTGAACGCGATAACGAGCCACGCCGACCACGCCGACTACCACTTACGCCGATCACGACGGACCACGACCACGGCCACATCGTGTTTCACCATAACAATTGGCACAGTACTACACCCATCTTCCTCTCTACAGTCGGTACTTCTGCCTTGCCCATCAATCCTTTTGCTTTTTCCTACTTGTACACGTACATAGTACGTCCTTGGTTCCTTTAATTCCGCCAATTCGGCCTCTCTGCCTGCCGCACCCCAGCCATCCCCATTTGGTCCGCCATTTCATCTCTTTTGTTTTGTATCGCATCGCATCGCATCGCATCCACAACACCTTGACGGCCAGGTCGTCGCGTCGCGTAACATCAACAAAGACCGACCGACCGCCCGACCGACCGACCGACCGCCTTTGCGACAAAGAGACGGCTCGCGCCGACTATCAACCGTCTGGGATCTCCCTCTCCTGTCGCCCTTCCCTTGGTACCTTTTCACCACTCATTTGGCAACACTCGACTTGCTCAACACCACATTCGCCGCGCCATCGAGTCCTCGTTGCCGACCTCGCTCGCGCCTGTTTCAACTTATTACTACCCTTTTATTCATCCCTTGCTCTTTCCGTCCCAACCCACTACCGCATGACGCTTGTATAAGACATAATGGACCAACAACATTCCTCCGGGCGTGTAACAATGCCACGCGACTTTCGCTATGCCGTCGCGCTCGAACTTCCCGACGCCAGCGAAGGACCAAGGACGCCTATAAACCTAATTCCAGAACATGACGGCTTTCCCCAAATTCCTTCGCCTCCCAGACCCCGTCTCAAAGTCAAGAGACGCACCACTTCGAACCAGCTCGCTGCGTCACAGCAATTCCTGGCTTCCGTAGCAGCAGCAGACCTCGCCATCCCCAGTATCGAAGAGCCAGAGTCAGACCCAGAGGACTTTACCATGCGTCCCTTCTCTCCAGAACCCCATCAAGACTCCCTGTCTTTGCAAATCCCCCGGGCCAGGGCGTATTCAGACGCAGGACCAAAGACACCAGTACCAACCACCATGGCGCTACCAGCATTAACACCCCGTCGATACCCGGATTGGACCCTTGGTTCAACCAGTAGCTTCGAGTCAACACCTGAAGAGGATGACGACGACATAAGCAGGCCATCAACGTCCCAGTCCACCCAGACCAGCGACTCCTTTCCGAGCCAATGGTCTCAACTCTCCGGAGACGACGAAACCGACGAATGCGACCTTGAAATCGCCTCCCTCGACGGGAAGGAGGACACTCTACATGATTTCGGCACGGCAGGTCTTCTTGACCTTGACGAACCAACCGAGACCCTGCAACCATTATCCACCACCACCCCCACCACCCCCAAGGAAGCCAACCTCCAATCGAAATTACCGAGAAAGAAAGTCCCCTGGACCAAGCCGATGAACGACCACCTCTGGTCTTACTACTCCCTCTACCTGCAAGACCCCAAAGTCACGCCGTTTCGCATGGGCAAGAACTGCATTCCACCGGAAGGAGTGTGCGCACGAGTTGCCCGCGAAGCCGTTCGCACCTGGCGGGGGTCGAAAGCGCAAAGGAGCACTGCCGGTGGGAGCGCCGAGGGGGCCGGGACGTTCATGTGCTGGCCGCATACGCAAGCAGCCACGAGGGCACAGCTAAGGGAGTTATGCCGTCAAAAGGCGGCAGCGGCAGCTAAGAACCACCGCTTCCTCTCTCGAAGCGTAACTCCGATGCAATCTGTCCAGACGCCCAGGGCGGAGCGGCCGTTTGCGACAGGGGACATGTCCATGTCTCTTACGTTGTCCACATCTGAGCACATGCAGCCACAAGGGCCATTGGCACAGTTGACGAGATCAAGTCTAAGCATCTTTGAAGCTCTACAACCCATTCCCATCCCACAACGGCAGCCACATGACGCAGATCAGGAACCTTTACGGGGCCGTCTTGGCTCTCCATTATTCGGCCCCTTCCCCAGATCCGCTGGACAAGCAGACCTTGACGACCCTGAACCAGCCCAACCGCGAAGCTATGGTCCTTCCTCGTCAGCCTCCCTTGCCGCCGCAATCGGCGCAATCACCACTCGCAAAAGGGGCCAGACGATTTCCCATTCCCTCCCGGGTCAACATAGCCGGCCGACAACAGGCAGACTCCAAAGCCCCGTAAGACTCAGCCGATCCAGTGCGCCTGGTAAGCGGAGGAACACGCATTCGCAGGGTGGAGACCACAGAAAGAAGACTGCTCCTGCTCCTGCTCCTGATTCCGTAGCAGCAGCAGCAGCAGCAGCAGCAGTAGACTCCAGGCCAAAGGTAGAAGAGGGCACCACCACCTCCAGCACTACCAGAGGCCGAAGTTCAACCGAATTCAGTTCAACATTAGGCCACCGATTTGACGACTTGTTTATCCCAAGGTCTACTTCCACCGGTGCCGATCTCGCTGCTGCTCCAACCCCATCTGAGCCACAGGCACAGGGCCTCCCCAGCTCCATCAGCATGCCAGCAATCCTCGGCTTTACTCCCTTCCATGTCGCCCCACCTCCACAGGAAGAATCCAATGCCCAACCACCTGCCAGGCTGGGATCGCCGTTGAGCTTTACCTCTACCTTCTCTGCTACTCGCCACAGCCACATCCGAAGACCGGGACACGGACAGAGTGTAGATCTGGGGATGCTTGGTCGTGGACCAGCTGCGATGATGCAGCAGGCTATGAATCAAGGGCAGATGCGTGGCGGGAGGCGGAGCCAGGAGTCGATCAGTGAGCTCCAGAGACCCCGACCAGAGGCTAGCAGGACCAACAGTACTGGAAGTGGAAGTGCAAGTGGAAGTGGCAGCGGAAGCGAGACAACAAGAGGTGGGAGGATGGCGGATTTGAGGCAGCGGTTAAGGGAGTTTAGCAGACGGAGGGGTGGGGAGGGCGGGAGGAGGAGGTCTGGGAGTCCGTTTTAAGTTCCTCCTTCCATTTCTTTTGCTTCTGGGATGGGGTGTTCTTGCGTATGATTATGCTTTACGGAGGAACGGCGTTATGAGAGTGTTTCTCCTTACCTACTACTGCATGGCCGGCGGAGAAAGTCGGGGTTCATGGCGTTTATGAAGGCATATGTCTGGTGGCATCCGCATGCAGCAGACGTTTGTATTAAAGGAGGAGGATGGATGAATATCCTTGGAGAGTTGCTACCAGTGACTTCTCACAGTCAGTACGCAACGTGGTGGCACTGGCTTCATTTACTTATTGTGCCGCGAGACATTTCTTTCTTTGCATACTTGGTATCTTTTCTTCTTTTTCTTTTGGACTTTTGTTGTCTTTGGGACGGACCTCTTTATTTCGCTCTACTCTCTGTACAATCAACCGTACCATGGTGAAACAGTACATGGCGACTGATTGGTATCTTTCTCTCCTCTTTTTTTCTCCCTCACGGGTTTTGGTCATGTACTTGCCACATGGAACGGCGTCAATAGCGAAACTCACCTCACAGCATATCTAATTTCTTTCTTCTAGCCTACTTAGATTCTCATATCACGCAGATATTTTATTTACTCAGACACATTTGAGCTTGCAATACTCGTCTCTAGCGCACATTGTTCGATCATTAAAGGCTTATACTCGCATATAGCTCAACATTGCAGCTTGGTGACTTACCCATCTTACTCGCTCTCTACATCCCCCCTTTTGTTCAATCATCCAGTAACATTGGACCAACAGCCCAGGAATGTGACTTGTGAGACAAGACTCCAAAAATACCTACACACGTCTTACATTAGTAGAGTTCCAATCCGGACACAGTCAAATCGCATTACACACAGTCGTCCTCAAACTCTCACCGGATCTTGATAAATCCACCAAGTCCTCGCCAGAAGTACATACTGCCCCGGCCCCGGCCCCGGTCCCGGCCTCCGGAGTTTGACGTGTTGTTGCCCGCTGCCCAGCAAGGCGACGCTTGGACCCACAGCTGTTCGGCGCCTCCCGCCCGAAGCGGGACAGCAGTGCCCTGAGTGGGGTTACATATGTAGTGCTGCCGCCCGCCCCTGCGCCTTGTCCCGCCCGGAGACTTTCATTCATCTTTATTAGCGTTGCCCCGCTGAATGCCAACGCCAACCGCGGCATCCGAATTCCGGGGTTCGGATCGATTACATCTTCATTCGACACTGCTGGCTACGTCGACGCCTTTCTCTACAGCTTCACACTTCAACTTGTGGTCGTAATTGAAGTTCTCAACCGCCGCTAGCTACCTAGACTCGATAGGTATTCGGTCTGACGCAACACCCCGAGACCCCGAACTCGAGCTGTCGAGCTATCGAACCATCAAGCTCCTACCGCGCCCGATCACACGCGTCTCCCTCCCGTCCTCCAAGCCCGAAGCTCCCCTCCAACCTGACACTAGAGACCCAAATCGCAACCACCATCGAACTCGACTCCGCCATCCAATGCCCACACAATGAAGTTCAACGTCACATCTAAACGGGGCGGGGCTCCCAGCTTCCTGTCGATACAACAATTGCTCCTGTTAGGCTTCGTCGCGCTAGCCACACCCGTTGCGGCGTCCATTGGCGATCGGCTACCTGAATTCCAAGAGTGTATAAGGGTTGGTTGTCTTCCAACCTGGGAGGAATAAAAACAGCTTTGCTCTAGACAGACAAAGAGGAACCCAGGACAGAAAGAGAGAAACTGACTGACGTTATACTGTTACTAACTAGGTCTGCGAACGCGAAAACTGCGGTCCGGACGCTGAACACCAAACGCCCATTCGTACGTCTTCCCTTTTCCCCTTCCCCTTCCCTCTTCCTCATCCACTATCTAGCTACCTACGCTACCTTTGTCGTCAACACCAACGGCACGATCTAACTGCTTGCAGCCCTCCACCGCCGTCTCCTCCTCTGGTCCTGCCCCTCCGAATGCGACTACACGTGCCAACACCTCACCACCTCCTCGCGCCTCTCCCAATCTCCTCCCCCCTTCCCTCACCCAGTCGTCCAATACCACGGTAAATGGCCCTTTATCCGTTTTCTCGGGATGCAAGAACCTCTCTCCGTTCTTTTTTCGCTCGGCAACTTCTGGGCCCACTACCAAGGCCTCTACACCAAAATCCTCCCCAACATCCCGCCCTCCTACCCCTTACGGAAATGGTACATCCTGCTCTCCTACGTCGGCATGGCCTCGTGGTTCTTCAGCGCCGTCTTTCACACAAGGGATTTCCCCGTTACCGAACAACTCGACTATTTCGCTGCGGGCGCCAACGTTTTGTACGGACTGTATTATACGGTTGTGCGCATCTTTAGGCTGGATAAGAAGGACACGCCGCGCCGCGAGTCGCTTTTGCGACTGTGGACGGCTTTGTGCATTTTGATGTATGTGGCGCATGTCACGTACCTGAAGATGTGGGCGTGGGATTACACGTATAACATGGCGGCCAACGTGGCGGTCGGGGCGGTGCAGAATCTGCTGTGGAGTTGGTATTCGTGGACCAGGTACCGGGAGCAGAAAAAGGGGTGGGCGGCGTGGCCGGGTATTGTGGTGGCGTGGGTGTTGGTGGCCATGAGTTTGGAACTGTTGGATTTCCCGCCGCTTTGGGGGAGTGTGGATGCGCATAGTTTGTGGCATGCGGGCACCATTGTGCCGACGATTATTTGGTATAAGTGAGTATCTTATCCAGTTGACTGAAGCTAAAAGGGAGATGGAAGCTAACGATTATGTCACAGTTTCTTGGTTAAAGACGCGCAGGATGACATGGCGAGGAGCGAGAGGCTCAAGTCTTAGGAGGGTTTGAGAAGTTGACAGTGTACAGCAAGTTAGAGCGCTGACAGAATGGAATAGACATTATGTTTGTTTACGCTATATCCAGAGGATTGATACACGCGACGCTGACGAGAACGACGATTTTATGTTTTCACACCAATACCCAAGACCATAACACTCCTCCCGGACCCCAATGGCTTCCTTTCGCTTCACTGTTCTTGGTCTCATTCTCGTCGTCCGGAGAAGCACTTCTGTTGACACCAAGCAAATCGAGCAAGCGCAGCCTGGCATCGTCCTCGTCTGGCTTCTCACCCTATTTGTTCTCATCCGCCTGACTTTCCTAGTCAACATCGTTTTCGTCACCAGAAGAATCTTCATGATAAACAGCCGCCAAATCGACAACCTCATTCATCATCCGAGGCGTCATCATGAGGAGAATCCTCATCGGAAGGATAAACAGGCCTGACACTGACATCGACATCCTTGTTTCCATCAAGAGAACCCCCAGCTTTTTCGGCATCGACATCGACGCCTTCAACAAGAGTCGGCTTGTTCTCCGGACTATTAGATCCAGAGAGGTGATATCTGTCTCCCTCGTCGTCGGCGTCTTCCGAGGAAGACTCTTCATCTAGAAACATCTCATCATCCGAAGACTGCTCGTCCTTGAAGAGTGTTGCGATTTCCGGGCTAGACATGCTGTCGCCTTCCGACCTGCTTTCCTCCTCCTGGCCGGGCTTTGGACTGGTGCTCTCCTTGTGCTCCAACATGGTTGACTGCTCGGGGATAGCGTCTTCCGACCGGGTTCCGTCCACCTCCCCAGACTCTGGGCTATCTCTCTCGATGTATCGCAAGATAGCTCTCCCACGCAACCCGGGGTTTTCCTCCCAAGGAAGCACTATGCTGCGATCCGTGTCAGAGTTCACGCTGCCCGACGGCGAGGGGCTAGCAGAAAACAGCACTGGTCCCAAGCCGCCTCCACTGTTCCGGACCGGCAGATCACCTGTAGATATCGGCATGCGTCTGGCGTCGTCGGCCCTGGTGCGGACCTCTTGGAAGCCACGTCGTTCCATCTCATTAAGCAGGGCCATGTCCATCAAATCCGCAGCCACGCCCGCATCCTCCACATACTTTGTTCCGCCGGCGCCAGCCTCATTGACAACCTTGAATTCTTCCTCCTCTGCGCACCTTTCAAACTCGATTTTCCTCTCCCTCTCCTTCCATACTTTCTCCTCAAGCTTGTTCCTCGACAACTTGTCCATAATCCTGAATAAGTCGTCCAACGCGTCTCGCGGAAATTCCAACACCCACCGCACACCCATTGGCTTTTGCTCCTCACTTACTTGCTCATACCCCAGCTCCATCGCGAGCCTTTGGACATTCTCCTCCATGTCCAAGTACCTTCTCATTCTCGCATCGATCGGATACTCCACATTCCCGCTCATCGACGGCCCCGCGCCACCGTGAATTTGAATAGCATCCACGTCCTCGAGTAGTCCAAAGACATCACTAGTTGTCTCTCCTAGCGCAGCCTGCAACTCCTTATCCCCCACTCCCGGCCTCCAAAAGTCAATTACCTTCAACCCCAGCACCCCTTTCTTCCAAACCGGAGCCCCCTTCCCACTCGTACCCACATCGAACCCCAAATCAAGATCCAGTCCCTCCGCCTCCTTCACCTCATGCATCCTCTCATCAATCCTGTACCGCACTATGACCCCCCTACACTTGTTCCTCTTATCCGCCACACACAGCACAACGCTCGTAAACTCCTTCTCCACCCACACGTCAAAATTGGGACGTCCAAATCCCTCCTTCGCCCCCGTTTTGGACGGATCCAACGCCCGCCAGCATTCCTTGTCTGCAATCAAGCACTCCGGCAATGCCTTCAACCCCATTTCATAGTCCCAGCCATCTGTCGTCGATAACCTGCCCATAAACGGGCGAAGCGCGTACCCTTGTTCACGGATACACCCCTCAAAATGTTGTAAATCCGCCGGATCTCGTCCGTCGCGCTCGAGGCTTCTCAGTTGCGCCATTTCCCCTCGCTTGCGGAGTTCGAATGCAATTCTTTCGCTTTCGGTGTCGTACTAAGGTTCCACCGAGTGTTGGTTCCTGTTGTTGTTGTTGTTGGAGGCAGAATAAGGAGGATAATTGAAGCCGTAGGGCGCCGCGTTGCGTGGCTTAGCTGCAGGAGGAGGAGGAGGAAAGGAAGGAAAAGGTAAATTGGAATCTCGAAGATCGGGAGAATAGATGGGGCGGGCATCTGGTGACGGGGCAGCGGAGTAGCGGGCTAAGCGGGCTGAGGGTCGAGAAGAGTCACGAGAGGAGGGGGAGGGAACTTCACGCTCGTCGAACGAGCTAGGTGAGCTGCCACGACGGCTGTTGGCCGCCAGGTTGGCGGCTCTGGCGGCAGCAGTGGCACGCTCAAAGAAACTGGGGGCGAAACCTGATGGAAAGCCCGTACGAGGAGGAAAACTAGCACGAAGAGAAAGGGGACAACGAGAAAAAGGACGAGGAGGAGAGCGATGACGAGGGCGAGGACGAGGTGAAGTAGAATGGGGAGATCGAAAGTGAGGACGAGGAGAAGATGGAAGATATGGAGGACTGGAAATAATTTGATTGCTGTCGGCACGGGAAGAGAGGGAAGGGCTGTAGTTCGTATTGTCTGTACCGGTCTCGTCGTCGATGCCCGCGCGTGTCAACGGCCGGCCACGCTCGAAGTCGTCGGCCCCGGTGGAAGAGGCGGAGCCCATTTTGGGTAGTTAGCTTGGTAGTTCCGAGTGTAGTGTGTGTTTGTGTGGTAAGTTGGGTTGGTTGTTTATGGTAGTCTTTTTGGTGAACTGATGTGGGAAGCAGATTGGAGCGATGCTTGTCTGTTGTAGTCGTGATCAATGATGTTGGGTATGTTGTTGAATGGACATTAACCAAGATTTAGCTGTGCAATATTGTGTGATGGTGTAGTTGCTGAAGGACGGTCAAATGATGGATTGGCGTAACACTTGATGTTGTGATGGTTGGTGACAGTGACTGGTGTGTGGATTAGGTTGGTAAAATCCTAGATTTCAACTTACTTCAGTTGGTGTCCAAGTTAGATGATTGTACTTTCCTTCAAGAACATCTGCCCTTTCTAGGGCCTCACAACCTTTTCTTAGCAAGAGGAGGAAAGTGGGAGGCAAACAGAACTTAAACCAGCCTGGTGGTGGCTCAGACTTTCCTCTGTTGGCCAGACTGCATTGCCTGCAAGAGCTCATGGTTCAAGGCTGGCAATTCCTCAAGGCAATGACCAGCATTGCATCTGCGACTTTGCGAAAATAGAACCCAGAGGAAACCTCCACCTGTGCCTGTGATACCTACGGGAAAGTCAGTTCTCGATTTTTATTTTTTATTTTTGAGGAAGGCCATGATGGCTTGATGCTGGCGAGCAGACATGGACATATTGTTCGAGGCTAGCATTATCTGGTCCAGTATTCTTTGCAAACAGATGCTAGAGATGCAGTGACTTCACATACGGTTGTCGTGGCAACAAAGCGGGAGTCAAAAGTGGACAGAGTCCAATGTTTTGATCACCATGCCATTCCTGGAAAAAGGGCATCACTCACTGTTCCAGAAAACAAAAGACAAAAAGGGTTCATGCAGGACAAATTTCCCCTGGCAGCGCCAAGACGGTTCATCCCCAGGATCATGGGTGGTCGACGTGGTGGGTATCCCTAGGAGACTTACTGACCAATCAGAAAACGGACCGGGAATCAGCGTGTAAGGTGGCCTCAACTCAGGTCCGTTAGCGTTTCGTTTCGTTAACAGTTAAAAGATAGTAAATAATCCGGAGGGTTAATTGATTGATTGATTGATGATGATGAAGTAGCAAAAGTGTCAACGAGAACTTATCAAGTGCTTATTCGTTTGTTAGATTGCTGCCCCTCGTTTCTGGAATTTGGAGTCTTTCAGTTGTGAAGATCACCTATCCCGTCCCCCGCCCGAGCTACAAGGCTACAACTGGATGACCTAGAGAGTCGACATTCCACTAACAGCCCGGAGCTGGAGCTTTGAGCAGAGGTACCGTCCGTTCCCGCTTGGTGACGCGCAAGCTCCGTCCCTCTACGGGAACCAACAACACCCAGGGCAGCAAGGGAAACGAACCCCTCCACCAACGAAACCACGTGGAACCTTCCATTGGAACATTCCCTCGTCCCTCGGCTACTTAGGGGTAGAACTACCTGCTCATTACACTGTGTCCATATCCAGAGAATTCAGTTGGGTCATTGCCGTCGCTGATTCCACCGAAGCCCGTCCGCCCCTAGAGGCAACCTTCAACAAACCCGCCGACGATCCAAGATGGCCGGGAAATCGAGATTCACCAAGCTCGACGCTTTTACAAAAACAGTCGAAGATGCCAGGATCAGGACAACATCCGGAGGCATCGTCACCATTGTCTCCCTGCTTGTTGTCTTGTTCCTCTCGTGGGGAGAATGGAGAGACTACAGGAAGGTGGTGATACACCCCGAGTTGGTGGTTGACAAGGGACGAGGTGCGCACATACTTAGCCCAACAACAGCAACCCATAGACAGTAGAGCTGGATAGTCAAGACAGATAGGAACAAGAGAAGCTGACCATGACGGAATCCCACAGGCGAACGAATGGAAATCCATCTCAACATCACCTTCCCCAAAGTACCCTGCGAACTCTTGACCCTCGACGTAATGGACGTATCCGGCGAGCAACAACACGGCGTCCAGCACGGCGTCAAGAAGATCAGACTTAGGCCCCAAAGCGAAGGAGGAGGCGAGATTGACGCCAAGATTCTTTCTCTGTGCGTTTTCCCTTACCCATCTCCCCCTTCCATTACCTATCACCAATAGCACCACCACTAACACCTCTTACCCAACAGCCACGCCGCCGACGAATCCGCCACCCACCTCGATCCCTCCTACTGCGGTCCATGCTACGGCGCCCCGGCCCCGTACAACGCCAAAAAGCCCGGCTGCTGCTCCACCTGCGAAGAAGTGCGCGAAGCCTACGCCCAAGCCTCATGGGCCTTTGGCGACGGCGCCACCATGGAGCAATGCCAGCGGGAGCACTACACGGAGCGGCTGGCCGAGCAGCGCCACGAAGGCTGCCGCATCGAAGGCGGCCTGCGCGTCAACAAGGTGATTGGCAACTTCCACATTGCGCCCGGCCGGTCCTTCTCCAACGGCAACATGCACGTCCACGACCTGGCGCAGTGGTGGAGCACGCCCGTCCCTGGCGGCCACTCCTTCAGCCACATCATTCACTCGTTGCGATTCGGTCCCCAGCTGCCTGACGACTTGGTTCGCAAGTTGGGTGGTAATGGGAAGAACACGCTGTGGACGAACCACCATTTGAATCCCCTGGACAACACCAAGCAGGAGACGGACGATCCGAACTACAACTTCATGTACTTTGTCAAGATCGTTCCCACCAGCTACTTGCCTTTGGGCTGGGAGAAGCAGGCGGCGCAGAACAAGGCGACTTGGGAGCAGGACCACAGTGTTGGACTGGGCGCGTATGGGTACGGATCAGATGGAAGCATGGAGACGCATCAGTATAGCGTTACCAGCCATAAGCGCAGCTTGACAGGAGGTGATGATTCGAAGGAGGGTCATGGTGAGCGGTTGCACAGTAGGGGAGGTATTCCGGGCGTGTTTTTCTCCTACGTAAGTCCCCCATACCTATCTGGGTGTGGATTTATAATATGGTGGTGGTGATGAGTGCTAACAAAGTGGGCCATAGGACATCTCCCCCATGAAGGTGGTCAACCGCGAAGAGCGCGCCAAGTCCTTCCTTGGCTTCTTGGCTGGTCTTTGCGCGGTCGTGGGTGGTACCTTGACCGTTGCGGCGGCGGTAGACAGAGGCTTGTTTGAGGGCACGGTGAGGTTGAAGAAGCTGAGGAGCAAGGATAACTAAACACATGGATATCTGCTGGTCAAGGGAGGTGAAAAAGCAGAGGTAGGTATAGATTGATGGGTTGGTTGTGTCTACAGGCGGGAGAAGTTGCAAATATTTCCTTTTTTTTGAGATTTATTGAAGTTTATCTGAATCTACTTGGGTACATACAGCAGAATTGTTCACGGTGCTAATTGATTTCCCTGCATGATGAGCGTCGCTGGTTTTGATGCGATGTGAACCTCCATGATACCCTCCCTACCCTATATCTGGACGAGTATACCCAAAGTAAAGGTCAGGCAGTTTCAAAACAAACTGAACCCCTTGAAACCACCATCCAAACCACCCTAACCCCAGCCCAAACGAACGAGCCCGACTACCCGGGACCCGGCCGGACGGTGTAAGCTACACTGCCTCTACAGGTACTCAAAGCACGCCGATGTGGACCCCCAGTCGGATCCGGGTGGGGCACGGATCGGAGGGATCGGTACGCAGCATGTGCCTGGCAGCTTGGAAGGTAGGTAAGGTAAGGAACAAGGTACCTGAAAAGGGCCGGAGAGTTCGGTCCGAAACAGGGGCCACCACGAGTCTGGATACGGACTGAATTCAATCTCGATCACTCATGACCCGATAGTCTGGGTCGTCATATTGTACACTGTTTTCTATGTATCTGTTTTCGTGAACAGCTCGATGCCTGTGTGCAGAGGAGGAGTGCCGCCGGTGTTGCGGCTGAAAACGTCAAACTCCACTCGCGAGACTGCCTAGAACAGGGCTGTGCAGTGCAAGTTGGCTGTTGGGTAGTGTACTTAACTACACTAAGCTCAGCAGGAAACTAAAAAACATTCGCCACGATTAGATCGGATTGATCGTGTTAGTTAAATCGGTTAAATCGGTTTGGATTGTTGGACATGAGGAGTGGCTAGATTATACTTTGCCCTTTTTTGAGTCGTTCGATCTTCTACGAGGTTCGTATGCTTTGGTTACCTACCTTGGTACATGTTTTGTGCCTGGCAGAAGTATGTTTTCGGCAGACAGCAGCTTGTTTGTCTTGTGTGTCTTGGCTTGGGTGTCTCTGGATTAAAGTTACCTCAGACATCGTCAGACCTCGCCATGCTTGCTTGTGATGGTTAACGTGGCAAATCACGATGAGGGTTCTGGTTTGGTTTGGGTAGAGCTGGAGGTACTTAGGTGTTACTCTGCCTTCTGTAGGTTCAGTTGCTCGGTTAGATCTCAGTTTGGATGTCTGAAGACTTCCATCGTGGGCAATTAGATGATGGAAGGCGCAAAGTGTTTTTGCATTGTTCTTGTAATTGAAGACGACATGTTGAATATCAGACAAGTTCGAGATTTAGCACCAGCAAACTGCAAGAAGCTGCATGGTAAAAGCTGCCTGATGGACCTTGAAAGGTATACATACTGTACTGTAGCAAATGACAGACCTGGACTCTCCCGCATTTTTTCTCCCTCTTCTTTGTCTACTTGGCAAAGACTCTCAGACTTTTAGACTTGGAGGATCTCGGTCTAGATTTTGATTTTCAAGCTGGAGATCTGAAAAGGATCGGGAAATCGGGTCGTTGCGACGGTGTCTCGTTCGTACCGGTGAGAGCAAGGAGAGAAAAAGAAAACAACAAAATCATAAGAAGACGAACGGATATCCCAAAAGGGCTTAGCGGCCATGGGAAAAAGATCCGAACTTCCCTTCTGTTTGGTGTCCAGTTCATCTCGTTTCAGCACTCGCATCGCAAAATGACAGCGCTGTGCGCATGGCATGCAGCACGCAGCGAATGATGCAGGTCCCGCTGAAGACTACATTGCGCTTTCGTGAGTGCTGCATTCAATGGAAATCGTGGAGAACCCCTGCCATGTTGAACTGTTGTTGTCCGTTTTCGTTGTCGCTGTTCTTTGCTTCTGTTCTTCCATTCTTTCCTTTTTTCTCTCTTTCCCTTGACGGTACTGCTGAGTTTGATCTCTGATGGCGACGTGGTGGCAAAACCCGTGTTTGCTCTCGGTGCAGTGGCTACAGGTAAGTACAAAGCGGCAGCGGCAGCGGCTATGCTTGTGTTAAGTTGACCACGACAGCGTCAGCGGCATTCTTGAGGAACGTTGGACAAGAAACGAAAGAGGTCATCAAAAGTGCTGATGAAGCCAAGAAGATATCATGGGTGTTCATCTCTACCAAAAGAGGTGCTTCATCTCCCTGCCGTGGCCTACCGCGTCCCTACTTATAAACCTCATCATAGGGCTCATTAACCAAGATCCCAGTGCCTCCAACCATCTCCCACGTGTAACCGGACGGGAAGGGGTCCCTCATTTCCAGTCTTCCATCAGTGCACGACATCGACACGAGATTGGGTTGGCGGGTTCTATCTATCCCTGTGCCATGTGCCACGAGGCAATGATGGAGGCAGCAAACAGATTTGCATGTGTTGTGTACCTCGAATTCTTTTTTTAATTGTTTTTGCCGTAGTCGTTTCGTTTCTTTTCTTGTCAAGTGTTGGTTGAGAGATTAGTGGATAGATGGATCGCATCGGGAATCCGATCGCGTATCATCCCGAGCGGGGCCGTCGGACGGTCGGCCGTGACTTGACTGATCAGTTTTGAGAGAAAACGAGATTTGGCCGAGCAAAAGGGAGAAAGGGACAAAGGCTTGACTCTGGGCGACGGATCAATGAGCGCTCATAACCGGAAGGCTTTCTGTAACTCTCTGCTCTCTCGCGGTCTACCTCTGGTTGCTACCGTGCCAACAAAAAAGAAAAGCCATGTGAAGCATCATCGACGTTGTTTCAACAAATCCCGAGCGAGACCGACAGTTCAAAAAATGCTTCATGCAGGAGAGATGGGCACCTGACAGCCAAACAATTTCCGGCCCCAAAGACGTGCATTTTCCGACCATAGGGGTTCTATTGTCTTATAAGCCGCAAGCAATGCCCCTGGTCGAGACGTCAAATGGGGAGACCAGGGGGCCGTTTAGGAGAAATGGACCACATCTAGAGTTGCTTGGCGCCATGCAAGAGGTTTGAGGATTTTGGAGTCATGTTGCACTGCTTTGAAGCATGACGGAACCCAACGGATGTGCTGGACATTCGAATGCGATGAGTACCTCTAGTGTACTATTTCTGTATCTATGTGCCACATTACATAGTGTATCGTGATGAGGGGGGCGCCATTGTGCCGTTGTCGGTGTGGTCAGGTCGGTCTAGTACCTCTATGAAAATACTGTATAGAGCCCCTACCTCTACCTATTGCGAGATGCATTTGAGGGGTCAAGAGATAGGCTGCCATGTATCAGAAGAGAGACGTGGAGAAAAGGGGGACCGGTGATGCCATTGCAGATCTTGGAGAGATGGGGCTTAATCCGGTGGATGTTGCGTGGTTTCGAGATGCAGATGTTCGACCGTTTCTGGAGATCAAGTCCTGGAGAGTGGAGGATACTTATCGAGTCGCTGGAGTTGACGACAAAGGAAAATCATGCATGGAAAATCACTGCAGTCAAGTTGTCGGTAGGTAGGTAGGTAGGTAGGTACCTACCTCTGGTTGTATTTTTCACGTAAGAGCGTGTATGTACCTACACTAGTACTCATTACCTTATGCAAGTATGTAGTACCTTACTAGCGAATGACAACAGTAAGAGGGTGTCTTGCATCGTCTTCCACAATCTCGAATGCTTTCAGGAACGTGAGGGAACGCCATCCACACAGCTATTCCTGTTCCACTCTAGCGCCCTTCATTTTTGGAACACAATTACAGACATGTTACCGTGAACAGCCTAGCCGCAATATTCGCCCGCCCATCCGGCCCACTTAATATCCCCAGATGAACCCACTCGATGCCCGAACGCTAGCGTGCTAACCAAAGGGTGTGCATCAGACGCGCTGAGACGAGGTTACAGTGGTGTCAGTTAGTGGGTGAAGGTGCCCCCGTCATTGGTCCCGTAGTGTTGGCCCGCTCGTGGCCTAACAGACCGTTTTTCTCAGGGACCCGCCAGACCCGTTCGTCCATGGATGCCTCTCTCTGCCCACAGAGATGAACTTCCCTTGAACCTTGAGAGAGTTGGGATGACAATTGCAAAGAACAAGCAAATGGGCTTCGAGATTCCCCAATTCCACTTTCTGCTCGCTCGCCCATGCATGTCCACTTTACTTCCATCCATTGTTACTTTTTCGACTCCATCGATGTCTTTTTGACTTTGTTGTTCCCTTTCCTCGGGCAAAACAACCGGTGTCCCCCTGTTTAATTCCTACCTTGTCTACCTACACTACCTTTTTTCCCTTCTCCTCCACGACTCGGAGTACCTTGGTGTCCCTGTCGTTGTCTTGTCTTTTTTTTTCTTTCATCCCTAGAGGTACCCGACCCTCACTACCACCATCACTTGCAAACCCTCGAGGTCCCCCTCCTCCTCCTCCTCTATACACACGTCTCCTCCCATTCTTCCTACCTAACCTAGGAGAATACCAAGGACGACATCCATTCGCTTCCAGTCGAGAGCCGAACGAGAGACGAGCGAGTCAATCCGAGAGCCGAGTCGCAATTCCTCAACCACCTTCACTACCCTCGGCCATCATATCCTCGACAAAAACCCCCCCGTCCGAATTAAATTATAGTCACTCGTTGTCGATCGCTGCGACTCCCCGTCCACCAGATTCCAGTCCACCACACCCCCCCCCCCATGGGCCACTGCTAGGACTGATTCGCTGTCGTCCCGTCATCGTCGACCTACCTCACCAAGCACGACAGCTACCCCGTGTCAGGTCGACCGTTCGAATGCGCCCTTCTCCAGCATCGGAAAACCTGCTTTGACGCACACCACCCGACACTCGCTTGCCACCCCCCTCCATTCTCGAACGAGTCCATTCGACGAAAGGGGAGAATAGGGATCCTCGAGTCCCTGCATCTGCATTACTATCCGGGATACCCACCGATTCTGCCTGTCCTCGAACTCGACGACGGCAACAACGCTCGTTGAACCACACGGCCTAACCACAGACCAACACCACGCTCGCTACCTGTCCGTCGTTCAAACTCGACCTCCTCATACTTGATGCACCGTCTTTAGTTCGAAATCTACACTTTCGACTCTCGCTGTGACGTTGCGGCCTCTTGGCCGACTCGCCAGAATCCGACCTTTATACTCGGATCCATACCCACCGACTTAGGAAACTTCTCTCGGCCTTCTCGACTTCTTACGGAACAAACATCCAATGGGTTCCGACACGGCCGACACAGAATCCATCATGTCGTCCACACCACGCCGTCCAGCGCAGCTCGACATACGGTCCAAGTCAGCAATGTCCGTCTCAAGGCCACTGAGATCCCCTCGACTCCATGTCGCCGGCGAGGCGCCCCCGGAGCTCTCCCCTCTGGATGCTTTTGCCATGCAGAGCCGGCTGCTTGCCAAACAACTTGAAGAGAGCGCAAGGCAGGGCCGGCGCTTGAGCCGTTTGCCGCCTCTAACTACCGATAGCCCGTTAATTGTACAAGGCCGTTCCGAATACTTTCGCTCCCTATCCCAAGACTCTGGAAGCGATGAGGCTTACACACCGCAGCACAACGTCGGCCTGGGCCTGAGACACGAGGTGGACGAGGACGTGAGCAACCGACCCAAGTCGATGCACCCGCGCATGAGCCGCATCCCACCCACCCCAATCGAGTCGTCCGTTCCGATGCCCGCTCGACCGAACCTCGATGCCGAAAGCGTAGAAGGAGAGATCTCTTTCGGAATCGGAGCCCGTAGGGAGGAATCGCCCCAGCCCCTCGACCGCAGCCCCGAAATTGAGCGACGATCGGCTTCGGCCATGGGAACCCGAGAGAGCATGGCGCGCTCACCACCGTCGGCACCGACTTTGACTCGGGCTATGACTTCGCCGGAGCACGTACAGGGTGGCCTGCTGCCACCTCGCCCTTTGTTCCCCAAGCGATCCTCGAGCATGATGTCTTCGCCCCTGGAACCGACTGACGAGGATGGGCTTGGTTCGTTGGGAACATCGTTTCACTCTCAGGTCTCTCAGGGTTCCCGCAAGATGTCTACCAGCAGCAGCATCCTGTCTCCTATGGGCCGCAGTCAACGGTCGCCCTCTATTGCATCGGACATGTCCGGACTGCAAAAACCATCTATGAACTTGTCCATGCCCATGAGTCGGGCAGAAACCCCCTCCTTCGAGTTTCCAGCTCGCCAGCCGTCTTCTGACAGCCATGCGTCGTTTGTCTTGGTTGATAATGAGGCGCATACCCCGGTCAGCATGAACGGCGATGGTTTCCCTGACCCTGACGGTAACCACTCCTTCCACAATGTGCAGTTCACATTGCCACGAGGAAAGTCAGTTCGGCGGGCGGAAGACGAGAGGCCTGAGTTTGGTACGCCCCTTAGGCAGGTCACTACCAACGAGCAGCCTCCGTTGCCTAGCTCAAATGAGCTTCTCCCCCGTGCTCACGTATCCGGACAGCTTCCTCCATCGCCATCGAGCTCAGTAGGACCTCGCCTATCCGAAGACCGCCTCAGGCAGATACCATCCGAGCAAAGCAAGGTAAGCCTCGAGGTCCCCAGGTCAGCTTCAACACGGCAACCGTCGCCAGAAGCCATTGGTCGCCTCTCAACAGACAGTGCCCTCGAGCGCGCCCGACCGTCAACGTCTCCAACACCCGATAGCAATCAAAACAAGACGGCCACACCCACGGCCACCCCAACGTCGACAGCAGCACCCTCCATCGCTGCTACGCACGATACAGCAGCCACCCTCACAGCTACACGCTCTCTAGGCCAAGCCACCGGCCATCAGACCATGGCCGAAATGACCGCCGAAGAGCACGTCTCCAAAGCCGTTGCTCTGCACGAAAAGGGTGCACTGCAAGAATCTACGTGGCATCTCCGTCACGCGGCAAAACAAGGCCATCCCACGGGTATGCTGCTCTACGCCCTCGCCTGCCGACACGGATGGGGTATGAGACCAAACCAACGCGAGGGAGTAGAATGGCTCAGAAAGGCCGCGGCAAGTGTCAATTTGGAATTACAGCAAGATGACGACAAGACAAAGGAAGGAAAGTCGGTGGATAAGGTGGAGCACAAGGCGAGAAAGGCGCAGTTTGCGTTGGCGCTTTACGAGTTGGGTGTGTCTCATATGAATGGGTGGGGAATTGAGCAGGACAAGGTTTTGGCGTTGAGGTGTTTTGAGATTGCCGGGTGTAAGTCTTCTGTCTCTTCTGGTGTGAGGGTTTCCGAGAGGGAGTCGATTTGCTGACAAGGAAACGATATAGCGTGGGGCGACGTGGACGCTCTAGCGGAAGCTGGGTTCTGCTATGCCCAGGGTATCGGATGCAAGAAGAACTTGAAGAAGAGTGCCAAGTATTACCGAGAGGCGGAGGCCAAGGGAATGAGTATGGTTGGAAACAGCTGGTAAGTTTTTATCCTCGTGTTTCTCACTGTCTTCGAGCTGGGAATATGGGATAGGGAGGCTGACAACAAGGAACAGGATTCACAAACCAAAATACGCCGATGATCCGAAAGACGGGAAAGACTCGAAACACTCACGCAACAAGTCCAAGTCTAGGAAAACGCTGTTTGGGTGGAACCATTCTTGAGCGTTCTCACAGCACGACGGTTCCCAATTATCTTCGACTATACCCGGCACTTTATTCTTGGTTAGGTTCTCTTCGCCATCTGGCCCGGTAGGGCATTCATTTGTCGACTTCCAACACTCAAACTTGGAATCTTTCCTCAACTGACGATAACGACAATGCATCTCAATCCCATCTAACACAAAAACAAGCACCAAATACCCATTCCATATACCCACAACCCGTTTATACATACACCCCCCCTTCTCCTCTATACAGCATACAAAAATTCCCATCCGGTTGGGCCATCGTTTTGAGAGTCTTCGGAAAAGGAGTTACAAGGCGCTGGGTGCATGGCTACGGGGCGTTGTTGTTGTTGCTACTGCTGTTGAGTGCTTCCGCTGTGATTTTGTACGGCGGACAGCTCGATTTCTCTGTGCATTTACATTTACATATTCTTTCCAAAAACTCTGTACGTTATGAGCAACATTCGCTTTTTTTCCTGCTTGTCCTTTCCTCCTGTTTGAGTGTTTTCTTTTTCTTCTCTTCTGGTTTCCCCTTCGTGTTTTATACCTTCGCTTTTTCCTTTTTTTTTTTTTTTTTTTTCTTCTCTCCGTTTTCGCTTTTTCTTCTATGTTCACTTTTTCTTTCTTTGTATCATTTCGGTGGTGGGGAGGGTTTGAAGAAAAAAACGTTCCATTTCTTTTCTTTTTTTTTTCATCCAAGCCAAGCGAGGAGCGGAAGATCGCAGGCAGGCAGGCGGGCGGGCAGGCATAGTAGAGCGCAAGGACAGAGGGGAGTCAGTCAGTGGAAGGACGAGGCAGAACAAAAAAAAAAAAAAAAAAGACGAAGGGCTTTTGCATATATTTCATCTCGCCATTTAGACAAGGACATCATTACACAATGTGTCGCTGTATTTTTTTCGAAGAAAGACTAACTCGATTCGCCTCTGTTGTCCGTGAAAGGACCAGAGGCAGAAAGGAGTAAGGTATTTGGCGCAAATAGCTCGCCCGGATTTTCTTGAGAAAGCAATTTCTTCTTCTTTTTTTTTCTCGTCATTTTGGGGAAGAAGCAAAGTGGCTTTGATTTATTGATACCTAGCCTGGCCGCCGAGAGTAGGAGGGGTGAAAGTAGGAGGAGGAAGAGGAGAAATTACAAATACATCAGACAGTCAGACAGACAGCGAGACATATACCAAGTGGAAGTTGCGGGGGGTGAAGCTGAGAGAGAGGGGAGAAGAGAGAGAAAAGGAGAATGGAAGCATTTTGAAAGAAGAACAAAAAGCAAATATTTCGCATCTACACTAAAGCTGCGGTGACTGGGAATTGCCTCCACTTGTCTTTATGTATACCTACCTATGCGAATTATCATTCATTTTGATGTGACTACGGCATTGTACTCGGTACTACTCAATACTACCTACTTGAGAAAGAAGGCCGATGTAAAGAGGATAGAAACGGTGAGCATGGTAGGTCCATAGTACTTAGGCCAGGCCAACCAAATCAGTACCGTATCAATACAGCCAGCTTGTAATCAATAGGTCATCACCACATTTAAGAGAAAGGAAAGTATGTTCTAGTTGTCATTATCTCTTACCCCATCTTGGAGGCGTCGACCTTTCTGTCTAGCAATCATGCACAAGAGAGCTATTTTAGGGCCCGTAACCCAGATCATGGCTGAAGCTCCAAATCGCTTATCTCATTCGTTGTGATCATCCATCCAGCCTCGCTCCTCGTCGTGGCGCGGAGCGTTTCGGCATGGACAACGTTTATCACTCGACCGCGGCCCTCTATGTATCAACCTCCATCTTGTCACCGCTCGCCGGCGTCTCCTCTGCCAGCTCCACCACACTGATATAATTCCCCATTTCCTCCTTCTTGATCACCTTCTCATTGAGCACCGCCGTCGTGCCCCTCTTGAACTTGTAACTCTTGAGCTTCTGGGTCCTCTCGTTTGGCTTAACGAAACCTCTGTGCAGCGTCGTCTTCTCGGGCGTGATCACCGCCAAATCGACATTACTTCCCGAGCCCAAATCGTTCCAGATACCCGCCTCGATCGCCTGGCTGCACAACTTCATGGCCTCCTCCTTGTTCAGCTGGGGCTTCCACTGCGTCTCAAAGACGGACATGGCCGCCAATGAGCCGGAGCCCATGGTCACGTAGGGGAGCTTGTCGGTGGAACCGTGCGCGTGCACGGTGAAAAGGTGGGTGCCGGTCGGGTCGACGCCCGCAACGACGAGGTACGCGCCAATGTGACCTTGGTACCGGAAGAGGTGCTGCTTGAGCATGGTCATGCACGTCACGACGCGCGGCTTGCGGCCGGTGGACAGAGAGTGCAGCTCCAGCTGGGACGAGATCAGGGCCGTGGTGAATTCCGTGTCGGCGGCGGTACCGGCACCAGCGCACCAGATGTTGGGGGCGATGAAGTGCAGCTTTTCGCAGTTCTTGTCGGCGACGATGGGACCGGACGTGGCACGGGTGTCGGCTGCGATCTGGGAGGAGGGACAAGTAGTTAGTGAGCTGTTGCTTGGGTAGATGGAAACATGGGGTGTGGTGACAGCTAGGTAGCTGTGGCATGCAGGGTGTGATGTATGATGGAGGAGGGACAGAATGACGCTGTACTCACAACTACACCACCGTCGTAAATGCAGCCCACAATGGTTGTTCCTGTGCTGGTGGCCTTGGGAAGCGGAACGCCACGGGCGTGTAGCGCCGCATTGCGGTTGTAGTTGGAGAAGTCGAAGCCGGGCATGGTTTCGGCTTGGGTATTAGTTGATGGCTATGTATGTATGTATGGGATCGTGAGGGTGTCGTGAAATCGGCGGCCTGCTGTTGGTTGTGGGCGTGGCAGGAAGAGGCGGCGGAGCTGTTTGCCGCAAGGTCGTCGTGGATAGGTTGATGGATGACGGGAAGTGACTGGAATGGGGGGCAAGTTGGTGATGTTGCTGTTGATGTTCAGTTGTACAGTTGATAGGTAGAGGTAGCTGATGACGAGGCTAGAAGCTGCCTTCCTCTCTAGGCGGGCGGTTGTTGCTAGGTTGGTTGCCCGCCTCCAGGTCCTCCCCCACTGAAAGCTGCCCACTCTTGTCCACTGAGAGCTTGCTGCCCTGCCGGCCGAGCGCACTATGGTACCGCGTAGACAGGGCTGCCAGGGTTAGTGGTGACCACAACCCAGGGTTATCTGTGGTAATGGCCCAAAGCTCCTCCACACGTGATGAGGTTTAACCCGATCAGGCTAGACTCACATCATACTCTCACGCTGTTGTTGCAGGGGTTGGGTGATAGCTTGGCTCACCCGGACACGGGCACACGGCAGGCAAAGATGTCCGCCGCGGCCCTTCTCAGAAAAATCATGGGTCGCGTCTTCTTCTTGGTTCCCGTCTGACGTCCAATGCGTCAGTCTCCAATTTGAAAGTCAAAGGTTAGGTCGGCTCAGGCAGAGCACTCACCACTGCGAGACAGACTTCCTTGGAGGACACCACAACCACCACATCGCCATACTCTATTGTTGTGGAGCGATTTTTTGTCGCCATTTATTTTCCTCTTTTTTTTTTTTTTTTTTTTTTTTTTTATTGTCGTCAACCGCATCCCATACCCATACCGGCATTATCGAGCTGGTCAGTTTCCAAAGTCAACAGACTATCGACAACCATCCAGCCGACTCTCCATTTTTAATCCAAACACACCACCAAATCCACTTTCACGCACCATCCACTTCCACCAACACTCGAGGTACCTTGTAGTGCTGGGAGCATAGAATATACCGACCTTCGAACGACGATAGCTACCGTGTCGCCGTCTTTCGTCGGCCAAGTCACTTCGACCGACGCGCTTCTTTCCCCGCCGCGCATTCGTCACACCACAAGGCCCTTGGCCCAATGCCATCCGACTTTCGGTGATATAAATCCAGTACACCGAGACTACAACAATTGCAATCAGTGGTAGAGGTGCCTCCAGCTACCATGGCGTTCGCCTTCGGAAACCAGTCCGGCGCGGCTGGCGGCGTTACAGAGGGTCCTGCTCTCGAGGTCATCCAGACAGAGGCATGTATTGTTGCGCGCGACACCTCCCTCCCCTAGTCTCATGCTAACTCACTGTCCTACCAGGGCCTCGGCTTCCTTGCTCTCAAAGGTGAGGCCAAAGTCCAACTGACTTCGAAATGGAATCCTCCTCCGGCCCCGACGGCATCCCTCCTCAGCATCGCCCAGCACAAGGGCCTTGTAGCCGCAGCAGGTCCCGATGCCTTCATAATCTCCACTACCGAATCCGTACGAAAGGCCTTCGAGGCCGAACAGCCCGCCGAGGGCGACATCCGACCCTTCACGCCCCAAGCCACCATCCCTATGCCCCTCCGCGTCTCGCAGCTTGCCTTTACTGCCGACGAGAAATATCTTATTTTGTCCGCCGAGGAGGGTGGTGGCCTGGCAGTTTACCATGTCGATGCCCTTAGCAACGGCACTACCCAGTCCGCTTTTGAGATAAGCACCAACGGCGAAGCGCTTCGTTCCCTGATACCCAACCCGGCACCCGAGTTCGCCCACTTTTGCGCAGTTATCACCACCAATGGCAATCTATACATGGCCAACCTGAACGAACGTCAACTTGTCTCGGGAGCCAACGGCCCAACGTTACGGTCCCAGGTTAGCTGCGCGTCATGGAGTACTCGAGGAAAGCAGCTGGTGGCAGGCATGGCGGACGGTTCCATCATCCAGATGACCCCAGACGGTGCCGAAAAGGCGCATATTCCAAAGCCCCCCGGCGTGGGAGACTACCACGTATCTTCGCTGGCATGGCTCGAGAACCATGTGTTTTTGGCAATTTACAATCCCGCAAGCGGCCAAGATCCGTCTGTGTACTACGTTATCACACGCCAGCAGCAGGCAAACGGGCAAGCCACCTTTACCTACAACAAAATGACAGACCCCGTCGAGCCATTTGGGGCGGAAAAGGCTCCCCATCATTCAGTATTGCGGTTGAAGGACTTCCCTCCGAGTCTCACCGATCTTCTTCTGGTGTCTTCTACTGCGACCGAGAGCATTGGACTTCTTACCCGCTCAAAGACCCCTTTGGCAGCCGACAAACCGGTCGTCAATGCCTTTACCACAACGGAATTCGCCGATGACACCAAGCGTGCGCTTCTCCCTATGAGTGAGGATATGACGGAAACCTTCCCTGTTGGTACTGCGCTTGACCTGTCCGCTAAGGACAAGGTATATAAGCCCATCCCCACGGACGAAATCAACGAGTCCCCAGGTCCTCTGCCCGGCCTCTGGGTACTGAATAACGACGGTGTCCTCTCGGCTTGGTGGATCGTTTACAACGACTCGATTCGTAACGGGACCACGTACCCTGGTCTCGCCGTCATGGATAGCAACAAACCTGCGCAGCAAGCACAACCTCAACCTACGTTTGGCGCTTCTACTACGACTGCACCGGCGTTTGGCTCTTCGGCGTTCGGTGCTGCTCCATCTCTCGGGGCCAAGACGTCCCCTTGGGGAGGTGGCGGTGCGGCAGCCCCGGCATTCGGCTCCAGCAGCTTTGGAAGTGCTCCAGCTGCTGCTGCTCCGGCTTTCGGCGCCCCAAGCGCGCTTGGAGGCCCAGCGGCGGCTCCTGCTTTTGGCCAGTCATCCATGATCGGAATGGGGGTTAAGGCCTCTCCATGGGCCTCTGGTGGTACCAGCACTGGATCTGCGGGAACTTCAGGTAAGGTCTTTGGCGGCGGTGCTGCCTCGTCATCCGGTGGGTTTGCTAGCTTTGCGAGTACGCCTACTCCCTTTACTAGTTTTGCAGGGAAGTCGGAAGGCAGCGCATTCGGTTCCCTCGCCGGTAACAACTCCGGCGGAAGTATTTTTGGGTCAAAGCCCGCTGAATCGAAGAGCATTGAAGTTTCGATGGATTCTGACACAGCGTTCCCTCCTCCTGCTGCGAAACCCGCGGGAGGTTCCGCTTTTGGATCATCCCCCTTTGTGCTTGGAACTACTTTCAAGGCTGACCTCAAAACTGCCAACGACAACGAGGAGCCTTCAGAGAAGAAGGGTGCATCTATGTTCGGTAGTGGATTCGGTCTATCACTGAGCGAGCCTGCCGCCGCGGAAACCAAGGATGAGACTATGGAGAGCGCGGCTCCTACGCCTGTTACCGAGAAGCCCAAATCGATCTTCAACGTGGAATCCACGACCCCCGCCGGTACCCCTGCCTCCAACAACATTTTTGGTGCTCCCAAGCCCCCTGGCAGTGGTCTCTCCAATGTGTTCGGCGCGCCCAAGACCGAAGAGTCCAAGCCCAAGCCGCTCACCGATCTGTTTGGAAAGCCTAAGACCGAGGAAGTTGCGGCCAAGCCTAATCCGTTTGCCGCTCCTCTCAAGTCTGAGACGAAGCCTAACCCGTTCGCGGTGCCCCTTAAGTCGGAGGCGCAGCCCAAATCGTTTGCGGATGCTCTTAAGTTAGCGGCGTCCCCCAAGGCCAAGGAGGAAGATACAGAAAATAAGGAGAACCTAGCCAATATTTCGGAGGTACCCGAGACTACTAGTAAGACGGACTTCCTTCCCAGCGAATCATCAGCATCTTCAATAGCTGACCCACTAGAAACAGGATCCAAAGCTGAAAGCGATGAAGCTCCTCTGCCACCGGATTTCTTATCGAGCAAGGCCAAGCCTACCAGTAAGAAGGCGGAGGCTGCTCCACTGCCTCCCGATACCCCAAGTAAGGCCCAGGATCTTCCCAAATTGCCTCCTGTCCCTTGGAGCCCGAGCAAGGAGGAGGAAGGTGAGGCTGAGGAGGAGGAGGAGGAAGAGGAGGAGGAAGAGGAGCACGATGAGAACGAGGAGGGTTATGAGGACGAGGAAGAAGAAGAGGAGGAGGAGGAGCGTGGTAGTGAAGAAGACGAGGAGCGGAGCGACGAAGAAGAGGATGAAAACAGTGATGAGGATGAGGATCGCTCGGAGGTGGGCAGTGAGGGTAGCGGTGTCGATGTCTCTAAGGAACTCGACCAGACAACTATGTCCGTCCACTTCGAAAACGGAAGCCCACGTTACCAATCCCGAAACATTTTCGGCAAGAGCAACAACAACATGGGGGCGAGCACATTCTCTAACATTTCCCGCTCCGAGGCGGAGCCACAGAGTCGTTCCCTCTTTGGCGAGGCGAACAAGAATGCGCCCCCCTTGTTCTCCAAGCCTTCAGGGCCTTTCGACTCTCCCAGCCCCGTTCGCAGCACGCAAACCGCCCAGCCCAGCCTTTTCAGGCCACAAGAGGGACCCCGGACTGCCAGCACCCCCGTCTTCAACAAGAATCAGCTCTTGGGCGCCAGCACCACCCCCAAGGGCCCTCCACCAGTCGACCCCAACGTGGCTGCCCAGCGCAAGTTCGCCGCCAAGAAGGAGGCCGAAGCCCAAGCGCTCGTCGACCCCGAAGACGAAGGCATCCAACAACTGCTTGCCGCAGAAGTTGAGCCTACCCTAACCATGAACGAGTTCCTTGTCGTCGACTCCAAGCTCGAAACGTACCATGCCCCCTCTTCCAAACCCTCCTCCGAGGTCCCCGCAGCCGTCGAGACTTTGTGGCGGGATATCAACCGCATGGCTGACCGCCTCGGTCTCAACTCGCGCTCTTTGGCATCATTCATCCTTGGCCATACAAAGTTCGCCAAGGCAGGTGGGCGCACAAAAGAAGACCTCGAAAACCCCGAGGACTGGGTCCTCGTCGAAGCTTCAGAGCTGACCAAGCTCATCGACGGCCAGTTGGCTCGGGAGTTGGAAGAAGGCCGCATCAAGGACATAGCCGAGACGCAAGCGGCGCTCGACAAGGTATCCCGCGAACTCAGAACCATGCGCGCCAAAGAGGAAGACATGCGCAAGCTCTTCGCTGCCCAAACAGACCCCGAACAGATCGCCACTATCAGAGCCCAGCCGCTCAGCAGGGAGCAGAGCGTGCAACAGATAGAACTTCGCCGGTCGTATGCCCAGTTCGCAAAGCAACTCGCAGAAGCCGAGGAGGCCTTGGTCCTACTAAGGACCAAAATCGCCGCCAGGGCCGCAGAAAAGGGCGCCGTCTCTCTCGCCGGTGCCGCAAAGGTACCCACCGTTGAAGCCGTCATGAAAACCATTCAAAAAATGACGACCATGGCTGAGAAGAGGAGTGGCGACGTCGATCTCCTGGAGATGCAAATCCAGCGCCTCAAACTCTCCCAATCCCAATCGCGAGAAGGGGGGTCAGCAGCAGAGAGCAGAGAAGGCACTCCTACACCTACACATAATCCACTCAAGGCCAGCACATCCAGCTTGAGAAGTTCAACGACATTTACCCCCAGAGACTCAGTTAGAATCGAGCTCTCACAATCACACTCCCCTGGCGCTTTCTCGGCGTCGGTCAGGAGCAACACCACCGCCACGACGCCTAGCCCAAGTCCAAGGAAGAAGATATCGATGTTTACGGAAGAGGAGAGGAAGGAGATTAGGGCGCGAGAGGCGAGGAGGAAGGGTAAATTGGCGCTGTTGAGGAAGGCATTGGAGAAGCAAGGACCGAGGGTGGAGAGGCTGAGTGATGATTGATTGACTGACTGACCGACTGATTTTGTTGGATTTTCCAGTCTTGTGTTTGTTTGTCTGTTCATGTCAGTTCAAGTTGTCAGTGTCGGTTGGTGATGGTGGACGGGTGGCTGAATGACTGACTGGGGAGTATAAGGAGTTGGAACATGAGGCTGTATTGATTAGTGGTAGGGTTAGTATATCGAGATCTGATGAGAGTGAAAGAATGGCAAGAGGAATGAAGAAGTAAGAATTACCAGAAAATGGCTCTGAAATACGCGTGATATATTCAACGAGAATTCTGTACATGAAACTGATGCGAGTTTCGATGTTGATGTGTCACTATTAGGGTACTGATGGGCTATGTAGGCATGCACTTGGGTGCGTAGTGTAACTATAGACTGAGATTAGGGTACCAAGTCTAAGTGGTTTTATGAAGTATAAGGTGTGTGCGAAGTTACCCAACATTGCAGTCAATACCTGTCAAGATCATCATCACTTCGTCATCAGTTGAAGACAGTGAATTCATAGAACATCGCGAACTACCTTGGAATCTACAACTACCAACTCGAAAATTGCTCTAGCAGGTTACAGTAAACCGCCAAAAGAAAGATCAGACAGAAAAACATCGAAATTTGCCACCATTCAACTTCCAACATGCAACTCCATCTTGCCCGGCCGCAGACCTTTAAAAGCAACCAACTATTCAACATCCCAATTCCGACCTTTCTCATGTCATTCCCGCTTCAGTGGTTGTACGGATGCGGCTCCCCAGACTTCGTATGATAATCCCCGCAAAACATACACCGTCCCCAATCCAGCCCGTCATCAGCCTTCTCCCCACTCTTCTTCAGATCCTTCCAAGCCACGTTGGCAAGTACACGATAACTCTTCCTCGGCGTCTGCTTCTCTCCACTTTGCTTTCTCCACCTGCCATAACGGACACCATCACCCCAAGTGCGACGATCGGGCTTGGAGGCGAAGGGGGTCTCGTCGTCTGCAAACCGTTTCACCTCTTCTTCTTCTTGACCTTCCTCTTCGGGAGGAGCAAGTTGGTAATTGTACTTGGATCCCACCTTCATTTCGCCCAGACGCTTGGCTACGTCGTTGGCTTCGGGGAGAGAGACGAGCGTGCGCTTCTCTTTCAGCTTGTGGGTGGCGATGATGTGCGCGTTAAGACGGCCTTCGGTTTCTGTCGTGAGCTTGCGGCGTTTGGGAGGGGACTGTTCGCGGGTATGATGAGCTTGGGTTTGGCCTTCGGTGGTGGGAGGTGAAGCGGAACGAGATGGAGGAGGGGTGCTGGCCAATTTGGCCAAATATTCCTGGCAAAGAGCCCACATTCGGGTATTCTGGCTGTCACTATATTGGCTCTCATGCTCACGGCTCCGGTTTTCCTGATAAAGTTTCATGTTGTTGAGAAACACCTGCGGCTTCTCTCTCGTCAAGTAGCGGTAGCCTTCAGCTCCAGACACACTGTACCTTGAATGGTAGCGCCCCTGCTGTCCGCTCTCTGACTTGACTCGGCTGGAAATGAGCTCGTCGTGAACCACTTCGACGGGGGTCCGGCCCACGGCGTTCTCACGGAAGAGCAGGCTGGGTTGGAAGTCCAGCACGGCCCGGATCAGCTTGGAGCTGGCGTGTGAGGTTAACATGTCGTGCAGAGGGGTGTCACCGGAAGCGTCAAGCATGTTGAGCGCGGTAGTCACCGCCTCAGACGACATCTCAACGAGGAGGTTGAAGACGGCGACGGACTTGTTGTGGTCTTCGTTCCCTCCGATGCAGGTCAGCCATTGGTGGAGTGGGGTGCGGCCATCACTGGCCAGGCTGGAACGCTCAGTGATCATGCGGATGAGGGCCTCGCGGTCGAAGAGGCTTAGCAGTTCCTTGAGCTTGTCAGCTGGTGGCGTGTAGATCAATGCGGCGTGCAAGATATTGGTCCACGAGCTAGTCCTGACGTTCGGGTCAGCACCGGCTTCTAGCAGGAGCTTGACAAGTTCCACACGACCCATGTAGACGGCCTGCACCAGCGGTGTCACGTTGTGCGACTTGGCCTCCAAAGCTTCAGGGCAAGCCTTGATGAGATACGAGACCAGATGACTAACGTCGACTTGGCCAGACTTGACAATGACGGCGTGGATGATCAACTCGCCTATATGATTGTTAGCTTTTCCCTCTATAAAGCGGATGGCAACGCGGAACTTACTCTGATCATCAAGCCATCTAGCGATCGCACCCTCCACACCTCCGGGGGCCCGTCCCAGGTGTTGCATCCTCATGTCTTCCTGAGCAGCCTTGGACTTGGCAAACTCGAGGTAATGTCTCAACGGGGCATCGCTCAGGAACCACTGAATACTCTCGATGCAACAGCTCTCTGCGGCTCTCAGCAGAGGCGACGTTGTGGAATTCTCATCGCGTGGTTGTTGAGCCACTTCCCGGCCGGCATTGGCCCAATCCTTTCTCTTCTTTCCATACACCGACAAGCCCTGGTAGTAGCGCGGCTGCTCCTTAAGCTCGACACCGGATCCTTCCACCAGGTGCTCCAATGGCAAGCCCGCACCCGTGCGTCTGATCAGCTCAGCCATGACCTCAACGCGTCCCTTCCGAATGGCCGTGGCAAAGACTTCATCTGGTACGGAGAAGAACTTGGGAGGTTCTGTGGCCGGGTCGAGCTGCAGGGTTCCAAAGTGCTCGCCCATATCGAGCACAAACTTAAGGAGCTTCAAGTCGTTGTTCGTGACGGCATACATCAGCGGATCCCACGTTTCCTCTTCATCATCGAGAACCTGGCCCTTGTTCAACTGCATGTGATTACGCCATCTGCCGTAGTTGAGACCGTTGGTGGCCGTCCTGCCCTTGAGCAGAGATACTGGTAAGGTGTGACTCTCTACCTGCATGGACACCTGACCGATGGTGTCAATGGTAAACTGATCGTCGACAGTCTCGCCCACAATTCTGGGTGCAGACTCGTCCGAGGAACTGTCATCATCATCATCATCTTCGTCTTCTTCCTCGCCGCTCTTGTTCATCGTGTAACGGGTCTTGGCCTTCTCCGGAGGTGAGTACTGCGCCTGAGCAATCTCTAGCACCGCCTTGGCGAGGTCGTAGTGACCACGCTGCAGTGCCAGGGTGAAGGGATTGTGTCCGTTGTGACCCTCGACAGCAATCTTTAGTGGCGGCTGCTGCTTGGCGTCGTCCCAAGAAGTCAGGGTGAATTTTTTGACCTTATCGAGATCACCAGTCCACACGGCCTCAAAAAGCTCCATGTAGGCAGCCTGCTTTGTCTCAGTCATGTCCTGAACACCGGTGAACACGAAGTCGTAGTGATACGGCTCTTTCTTGGAAACCTCGTCGTCATGATGACGACCAAGCCAGAACCCATGATGATTGATGCTGGAGTCATCATTACCGTCCTCCTTGCGGTCGGGATAGAGCTCCTTGAACGTCTTGCCACCCTTGGAGATGATGCTCTGTTCGATTTTCTCCAGCGTCGCAATGGCGTCCCGGACGGCCTGCTCCTTTTCAGGAATGCCCTTCGTTCTCTCAAGACATTTGAGACCTATCTCATATTCCGTCCGCTTCGCCGGCTCCCCCATCTTCTCAACTTTGACTCCGCCGGATACTGCCCAGTGTTGATAAGTACCCTCCTTGAATCGTTGGAGATAGGTGTCAAGTCCCAGGCGCGGCTTGGGCTCCTCGAATTTTGTGTTTTCTCCTTTGTATTTTCGAAGATCCTCTAGCTGCTCCCGCACCATGTCAAGGGCACTTTTGCCCTTCCATCGATAGTGGTAAGTGCTGTGCAAACCCCTTACTGACTCGGGGTGGAGGGAATTCGGATCGCACCCCCGTTCTAAAAGTTCAAGCGCAATGCTGGGCTCCTTGGACCGCAAGGCAGCAATCAATGGGCGATCAAGATCTTCTCGGAACAATTTCTTGTTGCTCTCAAAGTCGCTAAGCCGGCTCTCCTTGGGCGATTGTCTGGCGCTCTTGAGCCAGGTCTCAAAGTCAATCTCTGGCACAGCGCCCGTCTCAAGGAGCTTCACAACCATGCCCAGGTCGCCATCTTTGATTGCGATTAGCAATGGCGTCTCACTTTGGGCCCATTGATTGCAGACGTGGTTGATTGCCGTCTTGTAGCCTGCCTTGTCGAGCTCACAGGCCAAGTCCAGCAGCGTCCTGGCATTTCGCTCCACGTAACGGGTGAACACAGTGCAACTGTTCATGTCCGCCTGGGCGACCGTGGCACCAAGGCTGAGAAGCGTCTGAGCCATCGACTTTGCCTTTTCGATGGGAAGGGCCATGACAAGACCCAGCGTCAGGAGGACCTTATTCTTATCCTGAGGGAACTTGACGGGCAGCAAAACATCAGCTCCGTATTCTTGGCACAAAAGCTTGACAACTGCACAGTGCCCCTCCATGATGGCAAGGTGCAAAGCCGAGCACGGAATATCCCATGCAACTTCATCCACTTTGTAGAAGTCAGGGCCTTCCTCATCTTCGGCTACGAGTGTGCCATCAGGTGCGGGTGTTTCAGGAGTCTTGTCAACCTTGACAAACGAGCCTGTCGCGATGCTCATCTTATCGCCACCGGCATCAGACTCGGCATCGTCAGCTTCAATCATTTCAATGTCTTCCGAGTCGTCCTCCTTCTCATCGTCGACATCCATCTTCTCCGTCTTCTTCTCTCGAAGTGCAGCCCTGGCCTTACGGCGTTGATCTTCCAGTTCCTCAAACTCTTCCTCGTTGGCGTTGCTCTTGTTCATGAGGATCTTGACAATCTCCACATCTCCACGAGAAGCGGCCAGGTGGAGTGCGGTTCTTCCGTCCGCGAGACGCGCAGTAAGGCGGGCACCAGCCTCAACGAGGGCACGAACCACTGCTGGCGAAGAGGACATGATAGCAAGGTGAAGGGGAGTCCTGCCTGTGTGGTCCCTGGTGTTGGGATCGGCGCCCTCCTGAGCAAGCCAGTCTTGGACGTGCTCAACATCCTCGTCGACAATGGCCTGGCACAGCCTGGCAGTGTTGCCGATATAGGCCATTTCCGTCCAGTCATCATCGGTCAAAGGGTTGAAGGAGCCAATCTGTTGTCTTCCGGGATCGTCCTTGATGAAGGAAATCCTGCCAGAGACGTAGATCTTGTCCTCCTCTTCGGCAATGTCTTTCTCTTCATCGGTCTGGGGAACCGGGCAGTGTCCGCAGCAGTCTTCGACGACGTCTTTGAAGCGGCCAAACTAAAGAAAAAAAACAAAAAAAATGGTGAGCAAAGAGCTTTAAGAATATTCGTTGGAAAAGACTTACAAAGGCAGGATGGCGGTGCAAGTACACGGTCCGGTCATCATGCTGGTTCCACTCGGCATTGAGCAAGAGATCCTTGGTGTAGCAAAGCTTCTCAATCTTTTTGGCGTGGAACTTGGGACCGTAGGGGATGGTAAATGTGTGGTAGTCGGACACCTCGTCTCCGCTGACCCAATCGGCGATTTCGTCGTCGTAGTCGTCCTTGATGTTCGAACCCATAGCCCGAAAGTTCTTGCGCACGAATCGATTAAGAGCAGGGCGACCTCTTTCCTGGCGGCGCTGGTCGACATAGTTGTCTCTAGCCTTTGCAGTGGGCAGTCTTTCCAGCACGAGAAGTCGTGCGAGACCCAGAGTTCTCATAAAACTCCGCTCGAAGATGGTAGGGTCGATGCGAGAACGGTCAAGCTCAGGCCAGTAGACCTCAAACCCTCTGCGGCTGTACTTGGAAAGGCGGTTTTCGTAGGAGGGACTGCGGCGAGTGAGGTCGATGTGGTTGGTCTGGGTCATGTAGGACTGCAGAGCGCGAGGGGTGCAATAGACTTGCTTTCCATCATAGGCAGCGCCAGAGCAGTCGATGTCGAAACCGGTAAGAATTTCGGACACGGACTTGTAGATGCGAAGGACGATCTGGATGTGTCTGGTGGGATACTGGCTGCAAATGGTAACAGCATGCTTGGTCCTAACCGTGGTAGTCTCGCAGAGCAACGCATCCCTGACCTGACTCTCAATCTCCTTGATCTTTTCGATCGCCTGCTCCTCGGTCAGGCCATACAAGAACAGATCGACATCGGAAGCAGGAGCAAACTTTTCATGATAGAACTCGCGCATCAGCCTCTTGGAGCCGCTGTACTTTTTGGGAACCGGCAAGATGCAGTTGACAACCGAGGAGCCGGCCGCAACGACGTTGTCCCAGTTCAACTCGACCAGAGAAGACTCGGAGAAGATGTTGAAGTTCCTCTGGAAGTCCTTGTGAGATTGGACAACGGCGGGGGACTGGTCTGGACGGCGCATGTCTTTGGGCAGGGGCATGATGTAGCGTGCTCTCTCCTCCTCAGACTCGGCCTCCATGTTGCGGGCCCGGATCTTGATATCAGAGGTGTTGTCTGTGAAGAGAGGCAGGACGTTGACGTAGGGGTCCTTGAGCAGCTCAGAGTCGGGCTCTTGGGCGTAGACCTGACGAAGACGAGCCTCATAGTCACGGTAGGGCTGGAGGAGGTCGACCATGGGGGTCTGTGGGTGGTTGGCGATGTGCTTGACCAGATCGCTATGAGGGACCGGCAGCTGGGGAAAGGTTGACGTCGCCATCTTGAACACTTGGAAGGCTTGACTTGGGATTGATTTTGGGAGACAAGAGACTCAAGGTGGCGGACTTGACTGAGTGTATCAAAGATGGTGAAGACGAAGAAGGGACGAGACGGATGGACGGACGATGGAAGTGAGAAGAGAATGAGCGACGGCCCGGAGTCGTGTTCATTTTATAAACTTGACGTGAGGCAGGTACAGTGAGTAGTCCCTTCCCTTGGGCGCCATGTCTCTAACCGCGCGCGGCGTCGACTTGCCCATCATCGACCGCACCTTCCTTCCTTCCCACTTCTTCCCCCTCAAGCGCATGGTACTTTCCCACCTCCCGGACTTCAGGAAGGAAGTCGCCATGGGGGTGTGCTGCCTGGACAACCCACGTCAACACGACAGGACAACATGGAAACAAGTAACCGCCGTGTATCCATCGCGGACAGATCTCGCGTATCCGGCGCGATATCATGTGAGATCGAGTAGTGAAGGTGGATGTGATGCCTGGAGTTGCCTGGTGTTTGCGGGGAACTCGTCGGCATTGGTTGAAGCTATCGCGGCGGCCCCACTTCTGCCTAAATCATCCATCTAGCCGTCCCCTTGTATGTAACCAACCGCATGTAGTCCGCCGGCAGGCATTGGATATGCACATCTACAAATATTCAAACACACATGTCGATTATGACGAAAGACGGTAAATCCGATTTCTCACCGGTCTGTTGTGTCTAGCTGATCAGGAACCTGGCTACTGGAAATGCTATCGACACGACCTGGGGCTCATTGAACTGCGGCATCAGAACAGGCAATGAACGACAAGTGACTGCACACGATAAACACGACAGACGAAGATCCGTGGACCAGGTAGAAACCAAAGCTCAACTGTCTTCCTCTAAGTAATGACTCTTTTGATGGACGACGAACCTCACTCCGTCGTGGAGACAACTCGTGCCAGTCAGTCCAGCAACCCATCGATTATTTCCCTGGAGTAATAATGACGGTGGCGAGCGGAAGGTGCTCGATAAGAGCATCACAGCTCCGATAGTATAACCACCACCGCAGCCATCCAGCCACCGTGCTTCCGTAACCCCTTTCTTCCTCCGTTCTTCAAGCATCCATCTCGCGGAATAAAATTAAAAGTCCCAAAAACGCCGTACCATTGTGTGTGCTATCCCATGAACCTCCTCTTCTGAAAGCGTCGCGTCGCAAAGTCTAGTCTACCTAGTGATGCTTGCTTGCTTGTTGTGACTCTGTTCGTCCTTCTTCGCTATAATCTTCGCCTTATGTGGCCATCGCCGTTGTTGTTGTTATCGCGTGCGTGTACAAGTATAAATAGGTAGGTGGGTATGCTATTCGTTGTCGTAGTCGTCGTCGTCGTCCTGTCGGAACCAACCTCATAGCGCAATAGCCCCCCTCCTGCCCTCTCGTAAATGCAACAACCCTTGGAGACCGCAGAAGCAGAAGAAGAGCTGTCGTCGCATGTCAGCAAAGCTCTGTGTATGGTACCAGTCCCGGCCGCTCGAGTCATGTGGAAGATAGTAAACCTACCGCGTAAATAGCAATAGCCATCCCAGCCGTCGCCGCCACCTCCTTCCCATCCTCCGGGTCCTCCGTCCCGCCCACGAGCTCCGGGTGGTTGTTATTGAAGAGGATGCACAAGACGCCGAGGATGAGCATGGCGAAGGCGGAGATGACGGTGCTGTGTTTGGATAGTCTGTGGTCAGCATGGATTCAATCCATTGTATATGTTGTCGAGTGTGGTGATGTTTCTTCAGAGTGGTATGCGACGACGACTGCTACACATTTCCTCCGAGCCGTTATTGCGCGCTGCCGTAGTCTGTGATGGCGAGGCTCTGGTGTAGATTGATGAATGGGACTGGATGTGGTTCCAGGTTGCTGCTTACCAGCTCCAAGCCTGCATGGCTCCCACAAGAGGCTTCATCCTGACGGTGTTCTAGTCGTTTTCTTCGAAGCTGTCTTGTTGTTTGTGCGAATTCGAATGTGACAGCTGGGTGGATAGTATCTTGTCGTTGTCGTGGGAATGTCCTGTTGTGTTGTTATTGATGGCGAAGAGTAGTCAGTGTGATAGAGAATGGAGACCAGGACCTGGCCGCAGTCAAGCACGTCCCCTCGACCGGATGATGTCGTTCGTTAGGTTGGACCTGACTCGGGCCCATTTTAAGACCCACAGCTATAAACGCAGACGACCAATCATTGGCCGTGGTAGGCGCAGTGCGCTTGGAAGGAAACGACTCCTTGAAGACAATGTGGACGCGATATTTGTAAAGAAAACGAGGAAGAGGACAGTCATAACATGTACATCAATAAACGAATTCAGAAGACTCGTTTCATGTCTGGAGGTACATATAAGACAGTTTACGGAAGAGTGCGGATGACAGTGATGTTCTTACGATATCAACGATAGCAATCTTCTACAATTTGTTAGGAAGTACACAGAATGTCCACTATAGTCTTATCATGTACTAACAAAGCCTAGCACTAAAGAACAGCAGCCATTAAGGTCTCAACCTTTCCCAAGAGCAAAACTCCATCAGTCCAGAATGCACGCACGACAATTTCGCACTCTCTAGACTAACATCTTGGCCCCCCAATCCCTTTCCCTGTGCCTATCTCATGGAACCATCAACAGAGACAAATCGTTTCCTCACCCCAGGTTTCGTGGTTCCCAAAGCCCCCTTCGTTGAAGTAGCCCACGCGTCTGTAGCAAGGCTGCCCGTTCTTTTTCTTTACGCCCTCCTCCAGCATCAGGACTAGTCCTATCTGGTAGGGATCCTTCTTGTTTGTGTTCTCGGATTCCATGGATATTAGTATCAAAAGGAGCACTGATTCGCCTAGTCTTGGTTCCTGGCCCGGGTCCCAGTAAACATAAACCCATTCTGTGTCGCTCGCTCGCACCGCAAGCAACCAACACTTAAACCTCCATTTCCAGGCCGCCAGCCCTCTCTTGACCCGGCTTTTTATGGTGAGTATGATTCCTTCTTTATCAGCCCTCGTACCAGTGTATCGATCTGTGGATGTGGGACAAGTGAAATACTTAAACTGTGCCCTGTAAGTGATTAGGGGGATATCGAAGTCGAAACGCTCAAGCAGAAGAAAATCCTTGCCCCATTTTCTAGCAGCCCAGGACCACGAAGGGGGCTTCGATTTCGTAAAGTCTGTCGGTTCCTCCTTGGATGGGTCCCAGCCATGATACCACCACAAAAGATCCAGGGGCCAGAGTTCCTTCCATGTCCCAGCCACGTAGGTGAATCCTTTGCTATGTTCGATAGCCTTGGCCACTCCAGAAAGAGCAATGAGCCTATCTGATTCGTAGGTGAATTCGGTCCTTTGATAACCTCTGACTATTCTTAACCAGGCTAGGGACAATGTAAATCTGGAGTCCTGTCTCCCGCGTGGCAGGTCTTGAGGTGTCGTGTCTGATTCGGTCCCAAAGGTTTTATAGCCACAGAGCAACTCAAAATCCGACTTGGTGCAGTGATCCTCGACCCATAGATATTTGGCCCAGACACAGGCATGTTCCGGTTGTAGAGCCTGCAAGGTGATAATACGCGTTACTTAGCTATGAAGACGCATAGGAAAGTTGACACGAGGTCTCGAGCTAACAAACAAACCAGTACTGGACTGTAATGAGAGAAAAGACGCCAGAAACTCCTCTGTTTTGTCCCCGCAATACTCGTCGCCGACCATCCATCCATTCCACCAAAGGGGTTTTGCAGCACACGAACGTGCCTTCTTCCATCTGTCTCATCTGCCCCATCTCTGCTCTTCCCCTCGTTTGGCGCCGTACGCAACCCAAATCTTCTAGGAACGAAGCCACTTGACGAGATTGACGATGATGCACGCAGTTGTACATCGATGTCACAAACGGCATGAAGCCGGTGTACCGGCGTTGACAAATGAGAACGACGAATTATAGCTACCTGGAACTACGCTGAAACATTGACAGGTACGAACAAAACCACCAAGAAAATCAAGCTGGGAGATCTAACCCAGCAGTCACTTCAGCTTCATCCTCCACCAACTTTAGTACCAGCCCAACCCTCAGCACAAAGAACAGCCTCTTCCGTCACAGTTCAGCATCCAAGTGAACAGCGGCGCTTGTATCAAAAAACATATCGATTGTGCCTGTGCCAACACGAGTAGTTTTGCCTTTCATGACTGCACCTCTCAAGCTGAGCCTTACATCACTGTATCATGTCCCGGCCAAGGAGTGTTACCTCTCGAAATTCGGACAGAAGAAGTCGACGACTGTGGCCAGAGACGTTATGGCGAGTCTGCGAGTGATATGGTCGACGACTCAAGCGCTGAGGCAGTCCCGCTCTGGTCCGTGTGCCGGAAATACCTGTTCTCGTCCCAGAAAACAATGGAGCAAAGATGGCAACCGGAGGCAACTGACTCCATGATAGTCTCGAGCCTTGGGCTGTGGAAGGAGAGTTATTTGTTCGTCAGAACCGCTCTCCTGTTGCGAAGCTTGTATGAGTCGACGACGACTAAACGCTGGATGATGACGGACTTGCCAATAATCCGGGCACAGTTCCCGCACAGGAGGTTGGAGACCGCTCCATTTGTTTTACAATCCCTATATGCCCAGTGGACCTTGTTGGAGAGATCATGAAACGCTGTTGTAGTATCAAGTATGAATGAAATCGGTGTTGATCTGAAGGAAGATGTAGCGGAAGAGACACAACCACGAAGCCGTCCCTCCCAATTCAGTCCTGTGGTGGCTATGGGTGGTCCCCGAGGATAGAATTGATGTTGTGAAGTGGACAAAACTCGGACTGTTGACTTTGTGACTTTGAACCGCGGACGTAAAACGACGTCTGCACTATCAGCCTGTTATTAGTACACGTACTACTTCACTGAGAAGAATAATGGCAGTTACATAGGGATTAGGCCATACCATGAACAGTGCTGAACGCAGATAAGAACATCAAGTCTGTAGAGGTATCAAGTCAAGTTCCCGTCCTGAGCATCGACACTCAAACGAAGGGGGCCCCCCGATCAAGTCAAGCACGTCGGAGTCCGAAAAAAAGAAGAAGACAATCATAAAGAGAATCAAAGAGTAGGTAAATATGAACAGACAGGAGTAAGAGCCCGCGATTCAAAAAATCAATAAAATCAAGAAGAATACGAAGATAAAGAAGAACAGCACGTCTGCGTCTCCGTGCAACACGGGCGCGCCGCCGGTCGTCGTCAACTGCCATCGATGACTGAATCTGAGTGGGTTGTGCCTGATAGGGAATAGAGACACACCAGATGTCGAAGATGTATGTTGTTTATTGTAGGACTGCACGAGGTGCGACGAAAGAGACTGGACTGCACGAAGAGGATCGTTCTGATAATGTTGTTGTTGTTATTGTCGTTGATGACGACGAGGAATACGACAGTAGCTTTATCTTTATACGCGGCAATGGTTTCCCTGCGTACCTGCTTGTTGAGAAACAGAGGTACTGGTTAGGTAGCCACCATGGTAGGTAGTCGCTTCACACTTTCCATGTATGACGGGGATGAGATGTCCATCGGGAAGTGAGGTGGATTCGACCGAGCTCATCACCACCACTCGCTCGCTCTTACCCAGACCATACCCAGGCTCGTCGTAGACAAAACAAGGTAGTTGAGACCTTTGATACCTATTATGCCTTGGGTATACTCCTACTACGCATCCAAGCGTCTTTGCAACCCCTCTTGTCTTAAGTTCTTGGCAACTTCTGAATAAAAACATACAAATAGGACTCTAGCCGATGTCGTTTCGAATTGTTCTAATCCCTATTATAGTCTTGCAACGGCCTTTTTTTTGATCTTGACGAACGGTAGTGGACTAGTTAGTTTACCTAAGGTAAGTAGCTTGTTGGTTGGTCTCACTTATTTTGTCTCGGATGAGCCAGGCTACTACTTAACTCTAGACCGACGGGAGACCAGACAATCGACTGACCCAACGTGCCTTCTCTTCCCTAAGTAGCTCATGGTGACCAGTCCGGAAAATACTTACTACGCGAGTATGGATTTATGAACCGAGGTTCTCTTCCGTCTGTTTGGCTCGCTTGTTTTGATTCTATAACCCATCCTAAGGAAAAGTGAGGAGAGACCTTCCAAGAGTCGTCAAATTGGATTGACGCTTATACATAGTGAGACGCAGCAGAGACGAGACTACCTAACCAGAGTGTAGCAGAGACAGTGGAGAGAGAGAACTTAACTAAGCACCAGACAACGATGGAACACAGGAGGAGTTCTTTGCCCCATGAGTGTCAGAGTCGATGAGGATACACATGCAATAAATGCAATCACCCTAGAATATACTATATACCTAACCACAAGCTATAAACTCAACTCAACGCCATGACCCGTTCGCCCGCCCGTCATTCTTCCCTTCTTCCCTTCTTCTCTCTTGCCTCTTCCCTCCATGAATGACAATAAGGTCAGAACTATACATGATGCGATCTTGAATGTAAACGAAAAAGACCAAAGTATACAAAAGCAAAAACAAACGCCAGAGCTATGCAATGCTAGTTTTCATATGGTAAAAGTGCTTTGGGTATGCGTTGAAGAGCAGAGGGGAAAAGCCAACAGCATGGGATCAAAACAACAAAACAAGAAACGAAAACAACGTGAAACACAACGCAACGCAGGCTCAGCAAGGCAACAAACAGGCCGACATCATACCTCCTCCCCTTTTTCATCCATCGCCATATTCATCGATCTTCCCGTCACTTACATCACACCACAACAAGCCTAGAGTTATTTAGACTCCGGGATTCCTCCACCTGGGCCTTCCATCCTTCCCCACCGCATTCATCCCTAGCGAACTCCCACTCCTACTCGCATATCCTCCACTCATCCCCAGCGAACTTCCACTCCTCCTCCCCGCCCCAACAGCGCTCGTGTTACCCGTGTTCAAACCCATAGCATGTCTCGCCCCCGCCACCGCCTGCGGGCTCTCCCGTCCCGTCAATCCAGGGGTGGTAGCCCTCCCTAAGCGGGAAGTCGGCTGCGGAAGCATGCTCTGCCGGTTGCTGCGCGAAGTAGACATGGAACTAGCTGGTCGTACTGCGAGACTGGGTTCGGACATGCGAGGCGGTTGGAGGGATTGGCGCTTGGGGTTGCTGCGCATGTTGGAGGTGCCGGAGCCGGTGGGGGGTTCGACGCGTTCGCGGCCGCTGGTGGAGGAATGAAGAGAAGTGTTGGAGGATGAAGGAGGGTAGTAGGAGTGGGAAGTCTTGGACTGGCGCGGGGTGGCGCTGGGACCGACGCTCTTGGAGAGGGTTTGCTGAGAGTAAGGACCGGGAGAGGATATGCGCTCGCGGAAGGACAGTTTTGATGCCGTGGCGTTCGCTCTTTTGAGGGTGGGACTCTGTACGTCCGAGCCGTGGGTCAAAGGAGAGCGGGTTTGCGGTAATTTGGAAGTAGAGGACTGGCCCAAGGAGGAAGTAGACCTGGCATAGGGCGAAGGGGTGGTCAGGCTCAGAGGTTTGAAGTTATGGCCTGTGTCGACGTCGGATGGGCTAAAGGTGGCGTTCCAACGAGGACGGTTGTCGAGTTTGGAGGATGGACGAGGGGGTTGAGCGGCGGAGCGGGAGCTGGAAGGCGTAGTTGTGCCTGGTCTTTCGCGGTAGTCCGTCTTTACCGGGGTACTGGCAAAGATGGTGGACATCCGGGGATTGGATGGTACCGCTTTGCGGGTGACGGTTGAGGCCGAGGCTGGGATGGTTGACTGCCGGCGAGACGCAGCAGGTTTCGGAAGCTGGCTACCGGGAGTACCCGCCTGTCGTGACTTGGACCGAGCAGTGGGGGGAGCGTTTCGACCCGTCATAATGACAGACGACGGTGGTGAGCTCTGGGGAGTCTCGTGGCCGCTGCCCAATGGAGACCTATCGGACAAGATGCTGGAAACGGAATCCCGTAGTTGCTGTCCTTTCGAATAGAGTTCCTCCACAACCATATCCACGTCAACCATCTCCGCCTTCAGATCCTTCCACTTGGTCTGCATCTCGTTATGCAAACGCAAGATCTCTCCGTTGACCGTCAAGCGATCCTTGACGCCCTTCTCGATAATCGACAGAACCCTCTCGATAGCAGGCCCGTAATGAGTCTTCTTAGCCTCATAACTTTCCAGCCTTTTGCTCATCATGGGCTGGTTCGTCAAGTGCATTCCCGTGTCGAACGCCTCCTTCACTTTCTCTAAGCTTCGCAGGACGGACTCGTACATCTTTTGCGCCTGTCTGCCGGCGCCCCTGAACACCAACACCCACCGATCCTCACCTAGTTCCTTCCTCAGAGACTCGGCATCCTTCTCCAGCTTCCTGTAGGTAGCCTCGAGACTGTGCCTCCGCATCTCCAACTCATCGGAAGCAGTAGGGAAGATATTCTCCGCCCTTGACTGGAAGCCCGCCAGTCTCATGGGCAGAAAATCCAACGAAGCCCTCAGCGGCTGCATTCTCGCAAACAGCGCCAACAAGCTTGAGTCGTCCATCGAGATTCCCGTCGACGGAGTCGGCAGCGGTGACGTCGGGCTATTCGGAAAACCAGGATGACCAAACTTCCCGTTCCCATGGGTATTAGCCGCCTGCAGCCTGCTCACCAAGGACGTCGGCGCCTCCTCAACGATGGTCTCCAAATCCCCGATATCCACTCCATCGCCCGCCAACATGGCCGTCTTATGCCTCCTCTCCTCCATCTCGAACACCAGCTTGCTCAAGTCATCCACCTCCATCTGGATATCGCCCAACACCACGTTCCACAGCTCCTCCCACTCCATGGCCAACTCCACCTGCGACTTGACGGCCCTCAACGTGTTCCTGATTCGCGCCCACTCGCCCATAATGCTCTCCATCTGCGCTACGGCTCGGCGCAAATCCTCCGTCGAAACCTCGTTGATGTCTTGGCGCTCCTGCAGCTCTTCGATAGCTCCAACATAGATGTTGATCAGCTCCTCGAACCGCACAATCGCCTTTTCAACTTCATCTACTCCTTCGCGCCCACCAGCGGCCGCCCACTCCACGTCATCGTCGGCTTCGAGACCGCCGATGACTTCCGAGGCCTTGTAGATCCATCCGCGAATCTGTTCGGCTGCGCCGATAAGCGCCCGGGCGGCTACTTGGGCCGTGGGAATGGCGGCAATCTTGTTGGAGAGGAGCTCGGCATCGGGAAGGGTGATGGAGGTTAGCTGGGCGAGCTGGTTTGCAAAGGAGGCGCGAGATAACGTATAGACAGATTGAGGGCGGGAGAGGCTGAGAGGGTTGAAGGAGATGTCGTCCGGGTTGAAGTCGTCGGCGCTACTGTTGTTGGCGGAGCTGTTGGAGGTGTCGCGTTGATGTGACTGGGAGGGGTATGTATCCTTTGGCGGAGGCGGGGGCGGCACGTCATCGGAAGACTGGGATGAACTTGGGCGTGAATCGCGGGCTATATGCTCGTGTCGCGTGTCTGGTTGTGCCTTGACGCCGTTACCGTTGACATGATCGGGGAGTCGGTACTTGTTAGTGTCCATTTCTGTGTTGTCGTCTGGTGAGGTGGAAACGCTGTCGTTATCGTGATGTTCTTGTTGTTGAGCTAGTACGTCACCACCGATGTCTGCGTGTTCTTCATGGGCGGCCTCCTCGGCTTCCTCTTGGGTTTCCTCTGATTTGTGGCGGTGATGATGGAACAGCGTGGATGCCTTCAAGCTTGATGATGATGGAAGGTGGACAAGAGGACCTTTCCAAGGACGACCGCGTCGCTCGATAACGAGGGCTTGAGAAAGGGACAAGTGGTGCTCGTCGAGCTTCTTCAGCGTCTCCTCGGGCAGTTTGCCGATCTCGAGTTCCCGGTGTTGGGGCGGGGATGCGGGTTTGCGCTGGCCGCCGAAACCGAGAGCCTTCAATCTCGCAGCGAGACCCGGGGAGGGTTTGCGGGTGGCGCGAAGACCGGGAGGGGTCGGATCGGGGGTGAGGAGGACGTCTGTCGAGAAGCTGGATTGTCGCGGTGTTGAGGAAGAGGAAGAGGAAGAGGAGGAGGTGGTGGGCGGTTCGGAGTCGAGGTGATTTACGGAAATGTGAAGGTGATTCGTATTGTTGTTAGTGGAAGCGCTGGAGCTAGTAGCAGGCCTGCTGTCGCTGGTGGTAGTAGTATCGGAGTTGGTGAACTGGAGCAGCTCGGTAGGGACCTCCGAAAAGGACAGTTCGACGGCGCTATCCTGACGCTGTTGCTGGTCCTGGTGAGAGCTAGAGGTATCCCGGTCTAGCTGCTGTGATTGTAACGATGGGGAGTCTTGATCTTCCTTGCAGTCATCAATCGTAACGAGGCTGTCTTGGGCATCGATGTCCAGATCCGAGTCGCCGTCGTCGTTCACCAGTCGAATGGTAAAGCCACAGTCACTGGCTGGCGGAGGAGGGCCAGCAGCGGGAGACGTAGGCGACAACACACTGGTGGTCATTTGTTGACGAGTTTTTGTCTTTTTTTTTTCTTGCTGCTTGGGGTGTGTCTTGGAGGGGATTATTGGTCCAGCTCGTGACCGGGGATTCGAGACGGTGACTGGTTCTAGATGCCGACGAGAGGCCAATCGGACTTGGGTTGTTGGGCCACTGACAGGACAGGCGCAGATAGGCGATGTCGCAACACCTTGCAGAAGAAGAAGAAGAAGCAGCAGCAGCAGCAGGCAACCTCTTTCTTTTTCACTCCTTCACGCGAGGGAGCAGCGGGCGTGGGCGTGCATGCAGCAGCTGCCTGTGCTTTCTGAATGTACTACTAGACTCGTCACCTTGCTGCTGTATCGGCGAATATGCGGTAGAGAGAGTAGGTAATGGTACAATCCCGGCGATCAGAGGACGACGGCTGGCGGTTGTCGCGATTGGAGGCTGGCCGAGGTTTTGCCCTGGGTCGGGGTCGGGGTCGGGAATGAAGGGATCCCGCTAATACCGGCGGAGTTGTACCTGGTAGTGTAGGTGTTGTTTCGGAGAAAGCAGAAGCCTGGATACGACAGGCCTTGAACGAACACCTAATTGAGTGGAATGAGGACGATGAGAATGTTCAGTTTGGTCTGAGGTGACAGAAGAGTGAAATTGGTAGTGTACCAAGTAGAGTGTGACGCCGGGTGGGCTTGGCAGGGTGTTTGGTTAGGATGAGGAATAACACTCAATACAACCAACCACCAAGAAAAAAAGAAGGATCTAGCCTTTAGTCACAAGATAGGTATGTCAGGTATATGAATAGGTAGGTGGGAGATAGGGAGAAAGCAGGGGGAAAAAAAAGTCAAAGGGGCTTATTTGCTTATTTCTGGAAACCCGTAGGTAGTCATCGAGGTAATTTGGGGGAGTGAATTTCAGTTACGCCATTCTTGACAATACCGTACACAAGCAAGTTCAGTTCAGTTCCTGTGATGGATGGGTTTCAGCACACCATCCACTGTGGCAACAGCCAATCACCTTGGTCTTTGCTAGGACGTGCAAGAGTCAAACACCCGGCTTTGCTTTGAAACATAAAGTCAGAGAAGGAAGCTCCGAGTGGTGACTGGAGACAAACCTAACACCTCTACATTCCTTACTAGGTAGCGGTATTTTCTCCTCCGATAAGTGACATGAGTTCCCATCCCATCGTCAGCAAGATAAATAAATTGCCGCTCCCCGCATTCTCCCTCCATCCACCGGGTATAATACATACGTGATATCTTCAGAATCGATGCTGTTCTGCATCCCGACATCTCGACCAGTCCACCCACCATCCGTCATCAATCACATCACACACAGCCCATCACCATCTGGGGGATCTTCCATTTTCTTCCTTCCCAATGGCCTCCAGCAAATGACAGAGGGCGCAACCCATAGGAAGCGATATTGACATCGGCCTGCCCCTCCCACTCGGGTGCGCAATTACAATGATTACCTTGCCACTCCCACTCGGGCGGTTCAGACTTCAGAGGCACTTCAGGAGTCTTGTCCACTTACAAAATAAGGGTACCCCTGCACGCAGCAACAGCCTTGAGATGTCGCTAAATCATGCTCATCGGAGTTGCCGCTAAACCGGATGTGGTAAACAGTCAGTTCAGAGGAATGCCACCTTTTTATAGACTGACTGTTGAGACATGGCAATGGTCAAAGATACTCTGGGTTATCGCGGGTTTCTCGGCAGTAAGTCTCTGTGAAACGGAAAAGCAGGGCGCACTGAGACGGCACATGAAGAATGCGCAGAGAGAACAAGTGCCAACGGGAGAGACATATCTAAACATGTGCCTTCCAACCTGTAGGTGCGGTAGCCACAGGTCTCACTCATCCCATCGAGACTCAGATCAAAGAAGCTATAAGAAATCCGACATGGCAAAACGTCATCGTCAACAGCTGCATACTCCCGTTCAAATGCAAGCAGGCACACCTACTAGTACCGGTAGTGAGTCGGACACGTGCCTATTCAAGGCTCTCACCTCGCACCTCACGGCTTCGTACCTGACACCATTGCATGCTCTCAATGGCGGCGAGTATGTATAGTGTGTAGCCCTGTCCGCACCTGTGGGGTTGGCAGTCTTCCGTCTGATATTCTGAATGGATGACAAACTTGTTTCTCGTCGAAAGAATGGAGGACAAGGGTTCTGGAGCTTCTGTTTCACAAAAAGAGCTCTGTGTGTTTCTCGGTCTTTTGTTTGTTTGGCCACCTGGACTTCTTTAGTGTCACCACCACACCACCAATGGAGACTCCATCTATCTATAGGTACACTCTTGACACTCATGGCCAAGCATGACTTCTTCACGATGTTCACTTCAATGTACTTGTAATGTTAGAGAAAGACAGACTTTGCAAGCTGTCAACATCTGAAACTTGAAACAACGGCATCCAGGGAAGATGCCAGATGCTCAAGATACGTCAGGCAAGGAAATTGCAGTGACTCGGCAGCACCCGCTCTTCTTCCGTGCTTGCATACCCTGCCTATGTAACTGTAACGGGACCACGGGGCTTGTTCGGAACATGTAGACGGGAACGTAGTGTAGACATTGGATTGGATAGATCAGAGATCTGGATACATAGGCAGGGTAGGTAAGCACGCAGTCACTGGTCCAACGGGCCGCTTGTTGATAGTCGAGTGTCAAGGTCAAGCTACACTAGAGGGGAGGGGATTCCCTACCTAGTAGACCTAGACGGGTTGTTGGTGTTATCACAAGGGAGGCCACCGAAGAGTTGCCAGCCAACCCCTGAACGCCATCCGTCCAATGTCAACAAACTGAAAGGACATCGGAGATTCCAGTGGTCTGTTTGCTACCTATGGTCTCAGATTTCCCCGAGGGGCGGAGATGGAGGATGGCGATGAAAGGACGATGCTCCGAAAATGTGTGACGGCTAAATTGTTAGTGTAGCCCCCTGTCAGTGCCACTGTCAGGCTACCTAGGTCCAGTCTGTCCCTCTCCTTCCACTTCCCCGCTACTAGCTAGCTAGGTATCAGACGGCAACTAAGGCCTGTCGCTGCAATGGTCCGGCCATTTCCAACTGACACTGCCGTGATTGCACTAGGTAGCGCCGCCCAACAGCCAAAGGCGTTGCTTGGGTGCATTTCCAAGCTGCAAGGGCAGCACCTGCAGCAGAGGGAAGCCAGTGAGCGGGGTGCTTGGGTTGGTGCTAGCAGCCTAACGACAGCACACCACACCGTCACCCAATCTGGATGGGCTCCCGACATGGACTCTCCAGTCACTCATCGTCGTTGTTGTCCACTTTCCGCCGTCCAACACACGACAACTAAAATCACCAAAACCATCCCTTCCTCATTTCCTGTGCCCGCAGGCCCATCCATGTACACACGTACACACACAACAACGGCAGAGGCAAACCCCTGACTCAGTCATCGAAGCCTTCTTTCTCTGTTCCTTCTTCCGCAGAATTACCCCATCGCTTCCTTCCGCTGTGGATCTCTATTTTTTGGACAGACAAGGCTTCAAACTCTGTGATTTGATTTTCCACAGTGCCGTGAGAGTGTTGGTCATCGACTCGAGCTTTAACTGTAATTGTCCACATACACCACAGCCTCGATCGAACCTCTGATCACCGACTGTCACTGCCTCTTCTCCGCCTTGGGGCATGTCAAGAGAACAAGAATAACGATCGCTATACGTCAGCGCCCAAATCCAAGACTACAGACCTCCTCCGCCCACGACGAGGCAGGCAGATAGATACCCGACACCTACCTGCCAACGGTTATATACACACGGCTGTATCCCGTCGTAACGAGACACATTCGAGACATACCTCAAGCCGTACCGGACCGTCCAGGATGAGCGCTTCACCAGACAACGATTCCGTCGCCCGGTGCGAGTCGCCCGAGGCTCTGCCCTCGCCGGCCGTTGGCGCTCCCGTTCACAAGTTCATGCGCTGTGCTTCTGCCACCTCGGCCATCTCCCACGGGTCAGAATCCACCGAACGCTCGCGTGACTCCCTCATAAGCGACGCCGGCTCGGCCTTTTCGCGCTCCTCGTCCGGCACCTTTCCCGTCAGCTCGCGCCGCTCCGAAATCAGTACGCTTGGCCACTTCTTTCTCCGGTCCCGGGATAACTCGTGGATACGGAACTCTACCGGAAGCTTGGATTCGTTGACAGCTAACTCCTCCATCTCGTTAGGAAGCAGCAGCAAGCGACGGGGCTACATGCGCCCTCAAGGAACCGACTTTGCCCAGAGCGCCCGCCAGCGCGAATCCGTCCTGAGTCTTGGAAGCATCGCCCACCTGCAGTACTACTTTGCCCGGACCGGACTTTTGGACGGCAAGGGCGCCCAGTTCGCTCGTAAACGCCAGCAAAAGGCACAAACACTCGATCTGTCCATGCTCGAAGGTGGCGATTACACGATACCTAGGGTCTTGAACTTTGAGAACGATTCGAGCTATGCCTCCATGGGCAGCAGCCCCAATACCCCAGGGCTCGAGCCCGACATCAAGTCGCCCACAGGAGACGAGCACAACATGGAATTCCAGCCGCCCGAGGAGGAGTTCGGGTCGGATTATGATGAGGAAACAGACCAGCAACATATGCTCCCGCCGACGGTCTCGACGTACAACCAACGCGAAAAGCCGATCCCTAAACCCCCATCGATGGAGGAGCTTCGGGCCGAGCTAACAAGCGCCCTCAACGCCGCCGAGCGATCCCTAAAAGAAGCCAACGAAGCCACCGCGCCCGCGGGCGAGTCTGCTCCGCCGTCAGACCGGGTCGTCGTCCCACCCGCCATCCTTCTCTCCGACACATCCTCCAAACCCAACTTTTCCGAACAAGAATCCTCCAGCCCCGTCACCCCCACCGTCCCCCTCAACCCCACCGGCTGGTACGAAATCCAAGGCATGCACATCCTCGACGTCATGACCCTGGCCATCCGCGCCGCCAAGATCTACTACACCTCCCACGAGCGCCCGGACCGATTAGACGCCATCAAGTCGGAAAAGGACCTTCGTGCCGACCTCTTATCAGTAATGGACATTCTCAAGAAAATGGCCACGCGCGGCTTCATCGGCGGCATGCGCGACGACGAGTTCCAGACCATGAACCAATGGATCAAATCCCTGCGCGACATGCTCTCCAAAGAAGACGAGATGGAAGCTGCCGAGCAAAAGGAGCGCGAGTCCTGGACCTGGCTAAAACCGGAAAACTGGCCGACCGATGAGAACGGGAACCAAATTGAGCGCGAGGAAGCCTTTATTCACTCCATGTTGGCCGGTCTGCCCTTGCCCCCGCCGCTGTCGAGTCTCACCCCGTTGCCCAAGTGGACGCCGATTGATCGCTCGTCAAGTAATCCGGAACCGACGCCGTTTCTGAGGGAGCTGAGTAACGGGATTCGGTTGGTTCATCTGCATAATTGCGCGGTACGCAAAAGTAGGCGGAGGTTTGGTGCTATCCCTAGTTTCCATGCGGACACGCAGAAACCATATCGGGCAGCGGACAATTTGCGGTACTGGATGAAGGCGGCGGAGCTCAGGTGGGAGGTGATGATCAAGTGCGACGCGCTGGGGTTGCAGTATGCCAAGGATGGCAAGCTGGAGAATCCGGAGGAAGGGGGTAGGATGTGGGTGGACTTTGAGGAGGCGGTGGTGAGGTGGTGTAGAGGGGTGAGGGCTGAAGTGGAGGGGGAGTTGAGGGGGAATGTTAAACCATAGTGTCAAGTGGGAGTGGAGGGAAAGGGGAGTCCGTAGGATTAAAGAAGAAAGTGAAGGGATGAGGGAAGAAACACTCTATTTATATATGAGAGAAGTCTGGACATGAGACACGGAGACGGAGGCTGAAACTTGAGGACACACACACACGCACACACACAGAGAGAGAGAGAGACACACACATTTTCATGCATATGGCATTTTTTTTTTTTTTCGGTTTTACATATACCACACCGCACTGGCACACATTGGCAACTGGGCACTCCAACTGGATTATTCACGGAAGGGAAGGAGAAGGGATTTGGCATTATCACCGTCATTTGTTTTAATCCTTTAATTCCTACTCCAATCCATTTTACATTTGCATACTTTACGTTACTTTCTTGCATCGGATCTTCTTTTTGGTTATAGAACGGTTTACACTTTATAGGAAATAAGTTTGGAGTTAGCAATGAAGAAGGATAGAAACTACCTAGTATCTAATTACCTTTGGTGAACAGGACGAGAGACGAGAGAGCTTCGGAACGGAACGGAATAGAACGGAAATATTACCTACACTAGCATAGAAGCTGGTTTATATGAGTTACCCTTGATGGAGAGAAGAACCTCAATGCGATCAATTGAGAAATCAACGGCTTCCCCCAATACTGCCTAGTCGAGTAGGTAGGTAGGTAGTCTATTTATAATACTTATGTAACCTACCTATGTAGTGATTTACCTCACTTTTTGTCTCAATCCCACGCAACTCGAAACCAAGTGTACCACCCAGTGTGTGATAACTAACCCCTTTTCGAAGTAAACAAAAGCACTGCCACCACTACAACTACTACCACTACCACTCACTGTCACTACAACTACAACCATCACCATCACCATCACCACTACCATCAACGTGCGACCTCAAAGCCCACCTTACCCCACAAACTCCAGTCAGTTCACCACGCCATTCCACGAATTACCTCTACTTATACACATCAGACTATATCTGAAATACCTTACCTTACCTTACCTGTTCACCACGCTCGCTTCAGCCGCATCCCCTTCCATTCTCATCATATCCTACCTTGCCTCCCTCCCATGCCAAGGTCGTCGGCAATATCCCGGTGATAGAGGTAGAGGTAGAGGACTAGAGGTAGAGAGAGGGGTACCGAGCGATGCTAAGCGATGGGATGGAGAGCGTAACATGAATAGAGGTACCTCTGGGGAAAACATTCCTACGTAGACAGGTAGGTACCTACCCTACCCTAGGTAGGTACGTAAGTGTTGGCTTTGCTGGTGTATAGTCGGTCGAAGGGTTGTTATTGATGTCTGGTTTTGTCTGGAGGGTGGGTATCTGACTGGACACTGCCATGTCATTTTGACTTTACTTTCGACTTCCCCTTCTTACTGTCCAGATCTTAACGCCACGAATGAATGGAAACTCCACGAATGATGATACTCAACGTTGCGCAACTGGCGAATACTATAGACTTGGCTCGTCCTTTTCGACTAGGTATAAGTAAGTGCCTTGTAATCCCGCTATATTTCAGGGGGATATCTAATATGTCAAGCTCGATTGCCCTTTCAGCCGATGAAAAGCTTGAGCTGAGCTCTCTGGCCATTTTGGTCTGGCCTGTTCAAGCTTGCGGAAGCTCAACTTCCTCCCCCTCCCCCTCCCTTCCATAAGAGACTGTATAAATGCGATATGCGATAAAATGCTAATGAGGCATAACACTTATCCCTCCCATTCCTCCTCCACCACCCCTTTTCCCTCCTCCTGCACCACCGGCACCACCAGCACCACCAGCACCACCTCCCCTAGACCCAGCTCCTCCCCCTCTCGTCGTTGTCTTCGGCGCAGTAGATGCACCCCTCTTCCTTGCCGTCTTCGCGCCACTCCCACTCGCCTTCCGTTTCGTAACTCCCCCTCCTCCTGCACCACCACCACCACCAGCAGCCGAAGAACCAGCCCTCTTCTTCCTGTAATATTTCTTCCCACCTGCTCCTCCACCTCTCCATCCTGATCCTGATGCTCTCGATGAAGATCCTCCTGATGCGCGACCTGAGCCGTAGCTACCTTTGGACGAGCTGCCGCCGGAGGCGTACATGGAAAGTTGTTCACGGAGTCGAGCATCCTGCACGGCTTTGGAGACGGGCGGACCTGTTGAGCCGGAGAAGTAGCGGGAGGATTCGAGGTCATCATCATCATCATCTTCTTCTTCTTCGTCGGAGTTGTCGGAGGCGGTGATGGCGTCTGGATCGATGGCGTCGATATCGGGGTCGCTTAGCCCGTAGTCTTCTTCGTCTTGTTCGGCGATGGGTTCTCCGCGGCGGTTGACTGCTCGGCCTTTATCTTGGATTTGTCCCCCACGTGTCGACTGTGCCTTTCCTCGCCCCGCATTCCGCGATGGTGCACGAGCCGGAGGTTCATCCTCATCACTGCTAATCAAATCCACTACTTCATTCCCTCCTCCTCCTCCTCCTCCTCCTCCCTTCTTATTCCCTCCTTTTCCAGTCCCTGTCCTCCTGGGGCCCTCATCCCCATCCTCATCACCAGCCACAGCAGGATTATCATACCTTTCCCCCACCATCATCTCCCGATAATTTCCCCAAAACCGCTCCACAAGGGGGATGAACTTGGCACCATACCGATCTACTTTATCCTGGTTGATATCTGGGATCGCGCGCATCGCGTCCAACGTGCGCGTCCACCGGATCGCCATCTCGCGATACTGCGTTTCGGTAAAGATGGGTTTGCGCATGTGGTTCCTGTTGCGAAATTCCTCCTCGAAGACCTTGGCTTCTTCAACAAAGGCATCGACAATATCCTGGTGGACCTCGTCGAGCTGGGCATAACGGGGGTTTTGCATAGTGCGGGCGTCGATGGGCGGACCCAAAGTGGCTAGGTGTTGAGAGAGGGTTTGAGATTGTTGGGTGTGAGAGAGTGTGTCATAAAGGGTGGTTTGGCGGTGCTGAGGGCGGGTAGCGCGGGAAGATGGGCCGCGCCGCGAGGGGCGGACAGGTTCGAAGGCATCTTCTTCTTCCTCCTCGGGTTCAACATTATCGGATACGACAAAGTTATCGCGCTCGTAGCCGTTGGCGTGGAGAGGACCGTGAGGACCGTCGGAGCTGGGCTCTTCGTAATCGGCAATAAGGGTTGGTAAAACCTTTTTGGAACTTCGTTTCTTGGTGGCTCGAACGGGTGAAGAGACATTTGTTGATGTTGGCGGTCGTTGCAGGGTGGGAAGTTCTTGCTCATCCATGTCCTCGTCGACGCGACGGCTCCGCTGCTTAGACCGAGACGGGGGTTCGACGGACTTGTTCGAGGGAACTGGCAGCATCAACCGCTTGCCATTGTAAAGGTAAGCACCAGCTTCAGGGCCGGTCTGTACGAGCTGCTGTGTTAGCAAAGCAACAAAGCCAGATATGTAAGACCAACCGGGACAGCACTCACAATATAGTAGGTAATAGGCATCCCCGCTCCATTCATGATATTGTCCTCGCCCAGCGCCTTGTGGAAATTCAGCTGCAGCACGATCCTCTGCAGCTCCCTCTGCGTGCTCCCCTTGGCGATACCAAAGTGACACACGCCACCGTGCTCGTTCTTTCTCTTGCCCATCAGGATATCGCACAGCTTGCCCAGCGTGATGGGCTGCTGGCTCTTCACCACCTCGATGGCGGCGAAGGCGATTTCCGTAAAATCCCTCATCTCCGTCGACTTCGAGATGCGTCCGTTCCGGCAGTTATCGCATCCGTCTCTACACTTCCGGTAGTCAAACTCCTCGCCAAAGTAGCGGAGCACTTCTTCGCGCCGGCACGTGTGCTGCGACTCGCAATAGCTGACCACACGGTTGAGCATTTGTAGCTGACGCTCCTTTTGCGCGTAGTCACCTTCACCGTCGGCGATCATACGGCGTAGGGATTGAATGTCGCCATAGGCAAAGTACAAGTAGCAGTCCGATGGCTTGCCGTCACGTCCGGCGCGACCGGTTTCTTGGTAGTAACCTTCGAGCGATTTAGGTATGTGTTGGTGAATGACGAAGCGGACGTCGGGCTTGTCGATGCCCATGCCGAAGGCAATGGTGGCTACCACGACTTTGACTTGGCCGGTCTGCCATTCATGTTGAACGTTGATCTTTTCGTCGGTGGTGATGGAGGCATGGTAGTGCTTTGCTTTGATGCGGTGCTTTTCCTGGAGGTTTTTGGCGATGTTCTCGGCACTCTTTCTTGATAAAGTGTAGATGATACCCGTCTGGCCGTCATACTTCTCCTTGATCAACTCTGCGATGCGGGCAATCAGATTCTGCTCCTTCATCCTGACTTCATAGTAAAGGTTCGGCCGATTAAAGCTCTGGGAGAAAGTCTGGCAGTCCTCCATTGCCAGGTTGTGCTTGACATCCAAGATGACGTTCTGTGTTGCCGTCGCTGTCAAAGCCATGACCGGAACTCCGGGAAACCTCTTACGAAACTCTCCTATAGCTTTGTAATCAGGTCGGAAGTCATGGCCCCATTGACTGACGCAGTGAGCCTCGTCGATAACAATTCTAGCCAGCTTTTTCCTCCGGTAGAGATCCATCATCTTGTTGACGAATGTCTGGTTCTTGCTCACCATCTCCGGGGTGACATAGAGCAGTTGGAGCTCATGCTCAGGATGCTCAGCATCAAGCTTTTGAAACACCATTCGGCGCCTTTCTGAGTTCATGTCTCCGTTGAAAGCGTAAGCTTGGATCATCAGGTTTGCCAAATGGTTGACTTGATCCAGCATCAGACTTAGCAGAGGGGAGATGACGACTGTGATACCACGCGTCTTGCCACTCCTGACTACAGCCGGCAACTGATAGCACAGAGACTTTCCACCACCAGTCGGCATCAACACAAAGGCGTCCTTTCGAAAGTCAGCAAAGTCTATTTTCGTCTCCCCCTCCTCTCTCTCTCTCTTCTTGGTCTCTCCCAGATAGGTAAAGGACAGAGAACTCACCTTACCACCCAAAGTAGCATTAATAGCCTCCAACTGATTCTGTCTG